GGTTTATGGTTCACAGTGCGAGCTGAACCCTAAGAAGTTGAGATGTGGAAGAAGTACGATTGGTGCTAGCATTCCTTACGCATTGCCTTCAAAGATTCAAAGGAGGACGACAACTGTCCAACTTGATGGTAATTATTGTAGTGTTGCTGGTACAGGGTGCTGGCGCAAAACGTTGCCTGTGAGTGTTGGAGCCTAGTGGCCTAGTACAGACTCCCAAGCCCAAATAGAAGGTCACCATGAACCCTTAACCTGAACCCCTAAACTCTAAAGTTCAATCCGTCTTTAGCAAAGGGAAGGTAGTGTCCTCCCCCCAAATCAGGGTTTGAGCATGCGACTGCACTTAAGTAAGACATTGGGCTTCAGGGCTTAGGTCCACCTGGAGGGCTTCAGGCTTTAGTGGCTTAGTGTCTAGTTTGGGCTTTCAGGGTCGTTGAGGGCTGAGTTCCGATTCCTCCTTTCGCAAACTTGGCAGTTCTGCCTGGTTGTCCGCGTTGCGCTGTTGGTGCACCGCTTCCTCCGCGCACTGAAGCAGCGGAGGCCTGTGTCAGTGTTGTTTTTTCCAGGGCTTGGTCTTCAGGATTCCCAGAGGCGCTCCACGAATTCGCAAGCACTGTGTTCGTATTAGCAAGGTGGGTTTTACAGCACGAAAAGACCCGTATGCTTTGTCCGAAATAGCCCTGAACATTAAACACCCTAAACCCGGAAGAGCTACATGCTAACCGCGAACATCTCTAACCCTCACGTCTAAACCGCCGAACCCTATGAACCTTTTCCAGAAAATCTAAACCTTTTAAACCCCTAAGCCTCTAAGCCAAAAACCCTGTAATTAGCCCACACCGGGTGGCACTGACAGGCATGATCGGAAGGAGAGGGAGCTCCGGGCAGTGGCTGGGCATAATATAGGGGCTTACTTGAATATTTAATTAGAGTAGGGTTTTGCGGCCCATTATACTCTAATTATACTTTAGGAACCACCAAAATAGTCCTGGTAGTTATTTCGGCTCACATAGTAACTTTCCGCACCTCCAAGGTTTCGACTGTTCCACGTTGCAAATTTACGGGAAGCTTTGTCTTGAGTGTTTATCATCGTTCTCCTGCCCATGGCTTGGGGAGTTTGGAATGATGACTATTAGTTGGGTACTGCCCCCACTTAGTAACAGTTGGATAATATTCATAATATAGCTATATTAGGACCTTAATGGTAGCCCTATTGTAGACTACTGTATGGGGGCAGTACCCAAATTATTAGTCATTAGCAGCGTGTCAGGGGAGTTCGAGGCTAGGGGCCCTTGGGCTTTCGAGTGGCTTTGAGGTGGGTTGTGACGGCGGGTTTGGGGTCGTCGGGTGATAGCTTGGGTCTGTAGTTGTTACTTTTGGGTGGTTTGTTGTTCAGGTTTTCCTGTGTTCTGGGAGTTTCGGGGATTCAAGAGTGTAGTGCGTCTGATTGCAAGACATGGGCGCTTAAGGTTGAAGGCTCACAGGAGTTTCTAACACATTGGAGAGCTGTTTCAGATTTCGAGATGTAGGTTAGGATCTCACAGCTCATGCATCGACGGGTTCGAAGTGAAGTGGTGAGCCCGAAAATCGAACCCCCGAACCCCCCGGACTGCTAACTCGGGAGATCAGACGAAGTGTAACATGGCCGTCAACCCGCAGCAGACAAATCACCACACCTCAGCTGTTGCACTGACAGGAAGGGTTGCTCCCGTTTATTTGTTGAACATGATCAGCAGCCAGGGCGAGACAGATTCGGCGAGCCCTGATGCCCTAAAGCCTCAAGAGAAAATACGGGCTTCGGTCCACATTTGATCGTGTTTGAGGTTTGGAAAGCCTGTGCACCAGGATTTGCAGCTACGGGTTGGGGCTTGCGAGACAAAGCTGAATGCTGGGAGTTCAACAGGTCTTCAAAGCTATTGAAGGGATCCCTGTCCGAAGCATCTCCCAACAGTGTCTTACCCACAAACAGCATACACAGGTGCAGTACTTGCAGAAGCGCTGGCGCCGGAAGAGGCTCGAGACAACGAACGTGCATCGCGTAAGTTGAAAGTCAGGGTTGCGACTGCGCCAGTACCATGACCAGCATCATTACCATCATCATGACCCTCCTCATCCTCTTCTTCTTCATCCTCCTCCTCCTCCTCCCAGCATCCGTCCGTCCATCCATCCATCCATCCATCCAACAACGCAGCAATGCATCCATCCATCCGTCCATCCATCCATCAATCCATCACCATCATCATCGACATCACCATCACCGTCATCGTCAACATCGTCATCACCACCATCATCATCGCTATCATAATTACCATCATCATCATCATCGCTATCATCATCATCATCATCATCAGCATCATCATCATCATCATCATCATCATCATCATCATCATCATCATCATTGCCATGATCACCATCATCATCGTCAGCATCGCCATCATCACCTCCACCTTGGCAACTGTCATTCTAATCGACATCAGCGACATCGTCACAATCATCTTCGTCATTACCATCATCATCGTCTCAATAACATCACCAACCATGACCATTCTCATGGTTATGATGTTGGTTATCATCAGCATCATCATCGTCATCATACGGCTCTTCTTGTCCATCTTCTTCCATCGTGTTCAGCATCACAAGCACCTTCGCCATCACCACCACGTTCACCAGCACCAACACCAGACCATCACCATAACCACCATCAGCATATTGATGTTACCCAGAAGCCATACAAATAGTCCAAGCTACCTTCGATGCTGGATCACTCGCGACCGCAGTTCAAGCCTCTACACCAACAGCTTTGCTTGTGAGGCTTTGGCTCATCGTCCAACGTGCCATAGAGTCCGAGAAGACTGCATCCGAGAATAAAAAAGCCGAGGCGCCGTGAACCGTCACATAGAATATGGGGGGCTTCCGATCCGTGCTTTATATGTTTGCTTGCTTACCGTTGAATTTCGCAGATTCTGTGAAATTTCCAAAGTTCGCCTTCTCCACCATGTTGCAGAGGATGTTTAGTGATCGTTTAGAGAGATTCTGAGAGGTGTAGGTTGATAGCTCAGGTTCATTCAGGGTTTAGCACCTTGGAAAAATCTGGCTATTTCTGCTAGTTGGGGTAAGTGTATTCCCAGACGCTCATCACACAACCCCTGCACCGCGTCTTGCTGTTGGGCATGCCTGGGTTGATGGGTTTTGCATCTTAAGAAATCGTGTTGGGAATGTTGCGCTATGATTCGATTTGCTGTTGAGTTGGTGTCGGCGACAACGAGAATAGCAACGACATTTGGTATGCGTTGAATCTCAGAAGGACGGGCCGCGATTGCAAGGGAGTCCGCAATTGTTCGGGACGGCGAATTCGAGACACAAGACCCTTGTCACCCATGCAGCTGGACCCTTGTCCTGTTTGCGCAGCATCGTGCTCCTTGACAGCCTAGTCCTGATTCACCGACTCCCAGAAGGCACAGAATCCGTCCGCAAAGCAGCAATGGAGACCCGCTTGTTGCACAGCGATGACGAGGAGCCCCAAGTGAGTTCAGCTGAGTGGCAGCTGGTTTCTTCGCCCGGGCGCATCGTACCTGCAAAGGTCAAGTGGTTTGCTCTCGGGTTCGTGGTGCTGAGTTGCATCGTGGTGCTTGCGAAGATTGGCACCTGCCGCACGAATATTTCCATCCCGAGTCATGACGACACCCACATGAACATGACTGCTGAAGTGACCATCGAAATCTCCTCACAGGCCAAACAAGACATGGGGTGCCTCTGCGGCGGGTCCGAATGGGAGGCCCGGAACAAGGACGAACCCGTGGCCAAGTATCTTTTCAGCTCCATGAGGGCGGTGACGGGATGCTGCAGAGAGTATCTCAAGACATCCTGTAGCCCCATCTACCAAGATTGTACCAAAGAGATTCAGGGCTGTGTTGACCTCGCTGAGCCCACTAACAAGTACGAAGGCCGTCCGATCACCGACGTCCAGGATTGGCAGCAAACTGAACTCTGCCTGTTCGAACTCTGCCCGAGCTTGGCGCCGTACTGTACAAGTACACACATCGGGGATTGGGACTTCCATGGAGTGGATCTCAGTTGCAAAGCTTGATCCTGTTGCATTTCGCGGAAAGCACTGAATACTGAATCTTGTCCTAGTTACGGCAGATTGCGGCTCATCACTCCCTACTTGTGTAGTATGCCCGGCCTACTGTGAAGCCTATACATATTCGGCTAGAGCCGCAAGGCCCGCAAGCTGCCTCACCGTACCATCACTTGTAATTGTAGGTGCAGGCGATGACACAGACTTCAAAGAGTGGTTTTTGAGCTGTGTGCATGCGAACCGCGGGAAAATTGAGGGGGCTTGATTCTGCATGCATTGGAGGTGCTCGGCTGATGCTGCCGACACAGTTCGCACAAAAGCATGCTTTGGAAAATACCAGAAGCCACCCCACACTCATGAATCTGGTAGCTGCTGCCTTGCACAAGGCCGGGCTACATACCGTACGACTTTGTAAACCTCAAGCTCGAACGCTGCAGTTCTAGTCGGTTGTGGGGCCGGAGCTCTCATTCGCTAAATATGCAGCTGCTGGGAAGCCTCCCTGTAACAGAGAAGACAGAGAAACCTGCGGCCATAAGGTGTGACTCGAAGTCAGTGTACTCAGAGAGCCTGGTGTCCTGTATGACCATTATTTTACATGATTTGCGGTATATTCCTAGCTCGGACGGCATGGGGCTCTGTGAGAGGCCCCAAACCTTACACTTTGAATCCTACGCGCCTGCAAACCGTATGGACTTTGAGCCGGGCCACCAAACCCTGGAACGTGTGGGTGGCTATAACTAGCCATACTTGTGCCATTACTTGGGGTTTCTTATTGCCACTGTACAATAACATCCACTCGAACATCTATTTATTAAGGTCCTCGTACTCTTATAGCGAACCCCTTCAAAGGAACCCTATGTTCAGTATTAAGGCCCTTACACTAAGCCGGCTCCATCATCAGGCCGCGAGAGAGGCCGATGCTGCCATGACTGCGGCAGCCGAGGACACGGCCTAGGAGTTTAGGCCCTCCTTCCCCGGAGGGTCCATGTATACTACTATTATGGAATTGGGGCCTCAAAGAACATCCAAATATATAATGGTTTTGGGGACCTACTTCCATAGTAGTAGGATATCAATGTGGACCCGCTGGGTTCGTAGGGTAGCATAAGGGTTCGTTTAGACGGGGCTTACAATGGTACGTACTACTAGCCCTAAACCCTAAACCCTGAACCGTCTAGAATCATATTATACAGGGTCTCGGGCTCGTTATAACGGATGAAGATTTGGGAGCACAGGATTCGGATGTCGAAGGTTCACGGGTTTGCTCTTGGCATGTAGGTGCCGGTAGGAAGCTCTGTGTGTGTGTGCAATGGAAAATTGCTCATTGAGAGTATGGGAGTTGAGGGTTCAGTGCAGTGAGTTCGGAATTTGGGATGTGGAGTTTCCGGTATCTTGAAACATGCTGACCCAAGCATCAATTGAATGATATTTCAGGACGAAGCTCGGAAGCTGTTGGGTGGTTTCATCGCCCTCCGCTTTGGGATGTGCAGCTTTGTTGAACCCTGAGCCCTGCAACTCAAAGTCTAAGAGGCTTTACATAAGGCAATGCTTTCCTTAGGGGTACTTAGAACCAATTTTTAATTTTTGGTTATTATAATCCCTAAGAAACAGCTAAGATTATGATTTTGCTAGCACCCTATAGTTCCTCCACCCCGAACTTGAGCCGGTTTAGTGTTGGAGGTTGAGGGCTCCTTTGGCCCCCTACCTGCACCTATGGAGTCTGGAGGCTCCGGAGCATCCCCCAACAGCCGGCACTGCTGGGGCAGGTCGGGTGCCCGTGGGCCTCAATGTCTTGTAAAGTTATTCCTTCAGGCTCCCTCGTATGTGGTGTTTTTCGGGTTCTTCGGTGCAGCTGTTTTAGGCTGGTAGGGGTTGCGAGTTTTGGCTGCGGGGTGTAGGTGTTATAGGCGGTAAAGGTTTCAAACTTTCTGGGCTCAGGATCTTGCTTCGTAGATGTCGATTAAAGGGTCTTGAAATCGCGTCTTGCTTGGGCTTGAAAGCCGGGCCCAATGTATCTGAATCGGATCCAGCGTGGCTTCAATTCGGACCTGAACCAAAACGGCAAAGTCCAGAAGCCCTACAGAACATAGGTACAACCACTCGACAGCAGTCCGGCGTAAGGGGAACAAGTACCCTCCAGCGCGGATAAGCCCTAAACCCGCCCTAAGCCCTGAACCCCTAAACCCTAAACCCAAAGCCCTGAACCCTAAACCCCAAACCTGTGAGCCCTAAATTTCTTTGCACTTCAAGGCGCCCCTGCGTCACATCCGACCTTGTCCTTTGCTGCTGGCTTGGCCAGTACGTTCGTGCGCATCTCCGAGGATCGGGGCTAGAAGCTTCTGCAGGCTGTATAGGGTGTTTTCACGGGTTCGCTGGTGTTTCGGAGGCTTCATAGGGTTTTTATGTATGTATTTGCTGTTCGGGGTTTAGAAGTTAAGGTTTAGATTCGGGCTTTGGGGTCTTGCGCTGTTGGGCTTACCGTGCCTTCATATGGGGTCGTTTTCCAGCATGTTCGCAAGTCGCCGTAGCCATAAACCCAATTTGCCTGTCAAGTTTCAGATTTATCGGACCCCCCGCCCCCCGGCACCGCGACGACATCGCAGTTGTTGGGGCTCAAAGCTCGCGTCGCCCAGTCCGAAGTTCCTTTTGCGTTCCTTTAGCTCTACTACGGATCTCAGTGTCCTAGTGCTCGCAACACTACGTCTGAAGTTCCTTCGGCTGGAGGCTTCGCTGCGAAACCTTGAGGTACTAAGCCCCAGGTCCTGCGAAACCCTACACTCCTACAGCCCTGAAGCCCAACGACAACCTGCAAGGTTTTGTCAACAGTGTTAGAAGCATGTACCATCCCAAAAGATATTGACCTGAAAGCCACAAGAACTAGCAAGCTCTACTTAACCCACTTTTAAGAGATCAATCCCCAAAACCCACGAGCCTAAAGCCCCACAGGCTCCAAACGCCCCATGAACCCCGTATCCGATGAAAAGCCCTAAACGTCTGAGAGCCCGCAGGATGGTCAAACTGCGGAGCACATGGATCCCAATGGCCCTGCGCTGCAAGGGGTATCCTGGCCAAGTGTCAGAAGGGGCTTTCTTGAACTAGGGTGCGAGGTTTAAGGTTTCGAGTGTAAGGTTCAGGGTTGACAAGACTTAAACTGCGTTGTGGGTAAGATGTGCAGATAAAGGTCTAGGGTTTAAGTTCAGGATTCAGGTTGCGATGTAGCGTTAAGCATGCTGGATCCTTGTGGCACTTCTAACTATAGAGAGTGCTGTTTGAGAGGTGAGCAGCTAACATTCAACTTGTTTGGCTATTTGGCGTTTGGGGTCTAGGAATAATTCAGGCCTAGGAATAATTCAGGCCTCGACACGTGGATTTAGGGTTTTCGGCTTAGGGTTGATCTTGCGCTTTCAACCACGGAAATGAAGGAAGGGTTTATGCTTTCGGTTGTGCCTTTTCTTATTGAAACCATATCCCCGAAGAGCATAAACTATTAGATGAGCTTGTTCGGGATCAGCAGACGCCTGCACCCCTCACGCCTACTTTTTAAAGCTGTTGAGGCTCGACTTCGCCCCAATACCCTAGAAGGATCTTTCGAGTTGGCTCTTGGGATTCAGGGTTTAGGGTGGGGAATCATGAATTCGTATTACTATGGTGGGGTTTCCTGATTGGAATTATCAATAAAAGTAGATTTCATCACGCTCTGCTACGCTCTGCTACGAACTGCAAATAAACTCCAGAAGTGTGCATCGTCGATCCGCTTCGAAGAGCCATTCCCGTAGTATGCCCAGCATACCTATTTTAAAATTCTGGTATTTGGGTTTAGCAACTAGCAATGACCCAGAAGGATAGCCCCTGGGCTCAAATAGACCAACAGCCTGAAATGGTATGGTATTTGTGCTTTGAGCGCCTCTAGAGCATGAGTCTTTAGAGCATTAGTGCACCACGAGTGGATTGGATTATCATGAATAGTCTCTCGGTTTAGCCCAGAGATAGGCATTCTTCCCTCTACCTGTGTTCCAGTTGCTGATGACTAAGGCTCCCATAAAACCCGACAAAGCCCTATAGAAACCCTTTCAAAATCCTATGACACCCTACTCGGCCCTACTCAAAACCCGTATGAACCCTACTACTCGGTTCCATAAGACCCCATATTTCTGGGCCCAGGTAATCATGATAATAACCACAGAACCAACACCAACAAAAACAAGAATGCCACTTATAACAAGGCAGCAGTCAGAGCTGTTCCTGTGTTTGATTGGTTCGAGGTTGTCTTCGGATCCAGCCCGATTCCGACTTTCTCCACCGGTGCGTCCGCGGGCCTGGATGGCATGGCGAGCATATTCCTGTTTAGCATTTAGGGTTCGGGTTTGCGGGCTGAGGCTGTAGAGTCTAGGATCCGAGATCGTACTGCTTTTGAGGGTTGTGCCCTATGATTAAGATAGCCAGCATTTCCGTGGAGTTTGGGGTTACAGTTTTGGCGGGGTTGTTTCACCCCGCTTCGTTTAAACACGAGGTTCCCAAACCGAAAACCCTGAAACCATCCTAAACTACATGCAGCTTACCCCCAAAACCGACGCCCTTAATCCACAACCGTGGAGTCTGAGGCTTGACCTCTCTCAGGGATTTCAGCCTTCAGCCGCAAAGCCTCAGCGTCGGCCCTAAGATGAAGCAGCCGTTCATGCATGGTATGGTGCATTGTACTATGTGTAGGGGTTTAGGCTGTTGAGCTGAAACCCTCGCTGACAACCTGAAACCTCTACACCCCTGCATGAGCTCAATGCCGTCCCTGATTGGGAATCTCAAACCCAAGCACCCTAGCCCCAATACTCTGACCTGAAGTCCAGAAAGAAACAGCGCTGTATCCCTGAACAGACCTCAGCTAAGTTCCCGACCAAATGCAGTTTACGAGTTCAAGAAGCGGTCATGTGCCTGAAACCATGAAAGCCAGAAGCCTGTAATCCTACAATCTTTCCTGCATTCCAAAAGCCTAAACTTTGGGCGGCATGCGGAGAAAGAGCCACTGCACTTCAGAAACAATTCGGCGACATCATGGAATATCGTGGAGTGGTACTTATGCATGCTGGCATGGCAAGCAGGTGAACTTCGTCATGAACGAAGGGCATATCAACGGCTTCCAGGGAAAGTTTGATGCATTGACTCACTTCTTGGTTGTGGCGTACATGGTGCACAGGCGCAAAAAGCAGAGTATCGTACCGGAGGAGACCGCGAGGATCGCCATTGTCATGGATGATGATCTTTTGGCCCTGCAGGGACAAGTGACTCCGGACTGCCTCAAGCTCGTATACAGTCAATTCCCTTGGCATGCCCTATGGACTTGTGTGCCAAAGGCGCTGGCGGTCATGAATCATGACAGATGAGCCGAAGAAAGTGCGCTCACAGGTGAAAGAACTCCGGTTGGACCCTTTCGGCCAAGGCGCCGAGCACCACCCCCCAACGGGACGCCTTGTACTTAGAGAGCCCCACAGCCCGTGATCAAAGAATATACGTTCGACAACTGTAGAGCGATCCTGAGCATGAATGCTTTAGTCAAGGCTTTTCATGTCTATCCCTAAATCGATGGCTTCTGGGTCTGCAGGGTGCCGCAAAACTCCCAAAGCTATCAACCCCCACGTGCTACCGGGACCTCGAAGCCACGCAACACCCCCCAAGCCCAAACCCTGAACCTGAGTCCGAATGATGAGCCCCAAGACCTTGAACTCTACACTCTACACTTCTAAACCCTGCCTAAATCCTGCACCTTTCATGCGTAAACACTGAAACTCAGTGCCCTGAACCAGGATTTAGGTTTCGTGCTTTTAAAAGTTAGGCTTTAGGATTCAAGCTTCAAGTTTCAGCATTTTAGGCGTTTAGGTTTAGGGTGAGGCTTTAAGGATTAGAGTTGAGGTTTCAGGATTTAGGGCAAAAGCCCAACACCACGAGGTTTTACCTAAGCCCGAAAAGTCCAGTCCGGCTGCTGGACCCACCCAGTGCCGAACATCATTGGTCCAGTGAGCTCAGGTACTTCGAAGTGCTTGTGCAGAAGGCGAACCTCAATGAGGACCGTGCTTTCTCTGAATCAGCTGGGTAGGGTTACTTCGTGTGTTCGAGGTGTAGGGCTGATGATTTTGGGGATGCGTAGCCCCGAGATCAGGGGTTTAAGATTGTAGGGCATGGGCTTCAGGTTGTTTCGGGCCCTCTTCGAAGTTCGAATCAGCTTTGCAAGGCCGGTGGTTGAGCCCTACGGTTTGGGGTTATGTAATTGTTCAGCAGGGTTGTCTTTCAGCGTCCCTTTTAGAAAACCAGCAGACAAGGTGGGCACAGGCGCTGCCTCAAGCGCCATATTAAGAAATACATTATGGTGTATGTGCCCCTTATTGTGGATGGTACAGAATGTTGTGCATCAGCCGCATCCGCCATGGGAAACACCAGACAAACCCTGCACCTGAATGATGAGGGGTCGGGGTACGGGTCGGCAGGCTGGAGGCTATCAAAGGAGGTCCGAGTCAAAGTGCCTTTGGTAGGATAGCTCCAGTCCGAGTATACTTCAAGCAAGCAACGTCTTGACCCTACTACTTACTTCTTCCTTGATCCTTCGAACCTAAACCTCAGCCCAGTGCTACACTTCCGAACCCGAAAGAGCTTCAATGAAAGTCAGCTCTTAACCCGAGAAGCCCTATCAAATCCTGTAGACGTCCCGTACCATGAACCCTTATACGCTGTAGCACACCAAGATCCTACAACGCCCTATGCACCCCGGTGAAATCATCATAACACTCTTGTAGCATGCTAAACTCAGAACCCCTACACCCTAAACCTTCCTGTACCCAAGACAGCAGACATTGACATTGTAAGAGGAGGATGGGCTCACACTCGGTGTGACGACGACACTCCCCCAAGAGATCCCAGCTTTGTGGCTGCAGTTTTGAGGGTTGCGTTGCTATTTAGAGCTCTATGCTGTCACAGGAGTTCTTAAAAGCGGTTGTCTGGATTTGTATGGTTTTGATGGGCTTCTGCAGGGCTTATAGGGTTTGACACGGTTGTTCTCAGGGTTGTCGGCTTAAGGGTTCAGGACCTTCAAAGGTTTGAGCTTTTTGGTGGTTGGAGTTGAAGTTAATTATGGCCTGTTATACCGGGGTCGAGTTCTTTAGAGCATGGGTTTGAGGGCATTTTAGCATGAAGGGGTGGTATAGGGTTTTCTGGCAGAGCGCCGTAAAATGAAGGGCTTCGGGTCCATGGGAAATGGTTCAGGGTTTCGGGCCATGGGAGCCGGTCTAGGATTCGGGGAAAGATGGTTTAAGGTTGAGGGTTTAGGGTTGATGGGCAAAGGGTGGACCTAGTGAAATTAGTGCAAGGCCATACAAGACTCCAAATCTCAAATCCGCCGCCCTGAAAAGCCACGCAGTCGTTCCGGTTCACGTTAGGGCACGGACTTGAAAGCATTGGCCTGTGGAAGGATGTTCGAAGGGGCCTTAGCCTTAACTTGGATCAGGGCTTGGGGGTTTTGGTTGGCAAGTCTCCATGCGCCCTCAACTGCCCTTGTTATATCTTCATACACACTATCAAAGGCAGTAAGGGGCTCTGTCAAGGGGTATTTCGGGGTCCCTGGTACTCGGGATTCACGGCTCAATGTTTCGTGACTCTACTTGGAGGCTCATGGGCAGTTATAAGTGGATTTGTAAGTCCGCTAATATGGGTCATAACTATAGCTACCTTACTTATAACCCACGTATAACTACCCATGAACCTCCAAACTGGCCCTTAAACCCTATACCTTTATAGAATCCCTATAGAGTCCTTTAAAGGGACCTAATAGCTACCCTACTTATAACCCCACTTATAACTGCCTATGAACCTCCAAGTAGAGTTGGGAGTCTAGAGCCTAGGGTTCCCAGGCTTTGAGGTTTAATGTAGGAACCTGATCAAGAAGCTTTGGGCCTTTAATAGGGTTCCTTATATGAACCCTAATATATTTGGGGTCAGACCAGGGTTTCTCAATCAGGTTCCTACATTAAGTCAGTTGTACGTACCCGTAACTGATGGGGTTTCCGCACCGCAACTAGATAACACCACTTATGTCCTTGGGAGGGTTGGAGGTTTGATAGTTTTAGGTGTTGGGCAAGTTTAGGGTGAAAGCGATTTTTGTTGTTCTTTCCAAGCCATTTCGCTGCCCTCACCAGGAGCCCTTTGTGACGGCGGACGACGTTCCAAACTCTTACTGCTTCGGCTTCGATGGGACTCTTGAATTATATGGCATGCGCTTTATTTTGGGTATTGCAGTGTAGGCTGTGGGAGACCTATATAGCATGTGCCCCAAGACCGCGGCTGGAAAGAAGCGCTGCGTAGTGTTTCTTCAGACATCACGAAGTGAATGTACACACATTTCCACCCCACCCAAGGACCAACGGCTTGTTGTTACTTCCTGCGGTGCAACATGGCAGACCTAGCTCTAGACCCAAATCCCGAACTCTGGCCCGAGTCCTAAACTCCACATCGGCATTCTCTTGCAAACTTGAAGTTTCAACCCGTTCCCAGCGAGGAAGGCCGTCCTTCCGGACTGCGATGACCCCATCGATACCGGCTGGAACCCGAAGGATGTTCGCGTGGGAGACAGAGTTGGGCTATTGGTGACCCCGCAAGGAGCCAGCTGAGTAGGTTGAGCAGTTGAGAGCTTTGAGGTTTAGGGCTTTAGGGCTTCAGCGCGTAAGGTTTAATATAGGGGCCCTAAACCACTACCAACACTATATTGTGGGCTGCCTGAATATTGGTTATAGTAGAATGTACCCCAAAACCCTATTCCCTTTGTTAGGGCCCCTATGTTCGGCTTACCAGGGCTCTGGATACGGCCGAAATATGTCGGGCTTTTGGGCTAGCTTCGGGCTTGGGCCTGTGGGTGTTTGTGCCTTGGGCTTCTATCCGCGAAAGCTTTCTAGGCTGAGGGTAAACGGTTAGAGAAACCCAGGTTGAGCAAGGGTCCAAAGGACCCAGTACTTAAGGACGCGAGTGTGCAGTAGTATGTACTTTTTGAGGTCAGTTTTTGGCAGACAGTACGATCGAGACGCACTTATATACACCCGCCCCTGCTGTGTGCGACATATCTCCAAACTCAAGTCTTGTATGTTTCATGGCTTTGACGCTGAGGCGCAGTCATCTTCTTGGGCATTGAACTCGAACATTCGATGTCGTGACATCATGCGTAGTAGAGGGATCCCCTTGCGGCATGAATAATGAAGTTATACTGTTTTACGATTGATTAGTTATGCATACTCTGATATACCTCAACACAGGTCATAGCCCCAGGCTTCATGTATGACAGATTGGACCTGGTAGTACTGCAGAAACGTCCCGAATCGCGATCTCGACTATTTGATAGAACCTTTAGAGAACCATGAGCCTAAAGCCGAAAATCTATAAACCCTAACCCCTGAACCTTCTGACAACCAGCCAGCCCCAAACAGTAAAGCTAGCATATTACATGATCCTGAGCACGTACGACGGATCTTTAAAGAAGTTTCAGGAGCGTTGGAGAGAATTGGGACCTACTGGGCTACAGACATGCTTGTGTCGCCCTCCCTTTAGGATCCCACATCTAACGCCAAAAGCCGAATGCCCTGAACAACTCTTTGCAGCCTAATTGAAGCCCTTCTAAAAACCTACATGGCAGCCAACAAAAAGCTCGAGCCCCTTTTGAAAACTAGGTTGGACTTTGAGACATTATTTATTTTCCGTATTTGGGTCTATAAGGGACCCTATATACACATACTTTTCAGGGTGTTTAAAGGCCAACCCCGAAAAAACCTCCAGGAGAAGGGCAGGTCTTCCGCAATGGAGAAGCAAAGGTTTCAGGTGTACTTGGTCTGCCCGTTGGCGTGCCTCTGTTTCCCATCGTTGACTCTTGGGCTCATTTAGATCACAATGTCCTGCCTATCGATGAATCATGGGACTTGTAAGTATAGGTTGAAGGCACGGTTGCAGGTAATGTTGCCGATTTCAGTCCTAAGAACTTATAACTACTAACTTCTTCATTAAGCTGTTTATAGTCTCTATTCCATACCCATACCATACAGCCTCTACACATCGAGTCTGCCGTGGCCCTTCCAGTAGTGGGGGTGCTTTCAGGTTCGTGGCTTTTGAGCGGAGGGACACGAAAGCCTCACCATCGTCGCCCCTCATCGCCGTGATACCTGTCAGCGTCATGGAAATCATCGCCTTCACTTCAGGGACTCAGCAGGACAGCGAGCGTGTAATTTCCCCGTTTATCCTTGCCTATTCCTTTTCATGATGCATCTTCGTCTCTCCACGCATCCACCGAGGACTTGCTGGGCAGCGCAGTTTCGGTCTCTTTGGTGCCTGCGGCGGAGCCCCCTCTTCGGAACCTTGGGCTTGCTCCGCCGCCGACGGCCACAGAAAGCCTTCCAGGCTCGATACCGGCTCCCAGTGGCCCCAAGGCAGCCGCCACACCGAAACCCACCCCTTCCCATCCCACCCCGGTCCCAGCTCCCGTAACGCCCACGCCTGCCCCCAAGCCTGCAGCACCTGCCGCTGCTGGGGTGGCGGCCAAGCCGAAAGCCGCGGTCGCTGCACAGGCGAAGGCCGAAGCCCAGGGGCCCGCTCCAAAAGTGGGGGGGCTGTTGCAAAAGAGGTGATCCTCAAGCCCTTGCCATGTACATTATGGCAACGGATGTGCCATGTATTCGGAAGCGGAAGCTCTTTATCTGGTTCTTCAGAGATGTTGCCATGCACAGCCCCTGAAGGTAAGGTGAAGCTTTAGAATCTTAGGCCCGAATCTCTGACAACCACCGGCAAGGCGGCGACTCCTGCAACTCAGAAGGGTCCCTGCTTCAGCTCGCACCTGAAGGGGAGGATGGTACCGAGCCTGCACCTTTGTTTTCGGTTTAGGGTTTAGGGTTGTTGTTGTACCTGTGCTTCTAGCCACATATGCCGGAAAAGGACTGGTGGAGAACTACGACTAAGCTTCATCAGCATCAGCTTCCGTGGCAGTAAAAACCACTAGCACTACTACTCGTAAACGAATACGACCATCATTAGCAAGTCAAGGTTCGCGTTTCGATTGGGTTTCGCTATTGGTCGAAGGCACGAAAAGATCAACACAGCGTCTGTTGCATGCAGATACGCCATAAAATGTGGAGTAGTTTGCTTAGCATGGGCAATTATCTACCCTCAAGCCTTAATTACTGCCATACTATAATTCTTGCACAGCCCCTAAAAGTCTGATCAGATGCTACAAAGCTCCCGGAAGATCTTACTGCGTAATGTCGTCCTCAAGGAGCCCCTTGACCTTAAGGCCCGCACTGTCCCGGAGGCTCCAAGTATCGACATCTAGTACATACCTTGCATGCCCAAATCTCCAGCACCAGAATTGTTGGTACTGGTACTTAGACCCCTTGTGCACTGTAATGAACGCAGTAGACAGTAGATGTGACTGCCTTTGCTGCCGCTAATTTTTGTTCTTCTCTGTATTCGATTCTTGCATTGCGCCAGGCCTTGTTCTGTTGTTTGGAGGAACGGGTGTTGTTATACCTCCGACAGGATGTATTGCAACTAGGCCGACCTGCATGTAAGGGACCCCAAGAAGCCAATATAACCAGACTTGATACAAGTTACACACCAAGATCCTCAGTATAAGGTAAACCCTAAACCCAAAACCCTAAAACCCTAAACCCTAATCCCGGACCCTTGACAAGAGACTCCATGTCTTCAAACTCGTACCGGTAGCGGTGGCCCCTAAGCCCCCAGAGGGGCGACTCTGGGCCTCAAGAATCCTTAAAGCCTCACCCATAAAGCTCTGCCCTCTACCCTAAGGCCCCAAAGTAGTTCCTTTTTGGGGTTCATATATAGAATCCTATAAGGTAATCCCAAAAAGGAACTACTTTGGGAGCCGTAGAGTAAAGCCTAAGATGATCTAGAGCACTTGATTGCTGCTTGTGATGTTTGAAGTTGAGGGTTTGGAGAGGTTTAGGACTTAGGGTTTTCCAGGTGAGGGGTTCATCTCCCACTGACCCTGAGCCCCCGACTTGACCCCTACATGAGAAGGTTGCTTTGTCTGAGCAGAACACCGTCGCTTCAAAGCAGTCGAGCGACACAGAGGCTTCTGTTGCAGCATTGAGGGCTTTGTGGTACCCTAGCCCCTAAACCCTAAACCGGTCAGAACGTGAAGGTTTGCTTCACGGCTTTCAGGTCGGTTATGATACAGGGACTTGTGGCTTGAGCGCTCGTGTACTGCACAGAGCCTAGCTAGTTCTCTTCTGGGATTTAGGGATTACAGTAAAAGCCAGAAAGTTGGAATATGATTATCCTAAACCCTCTATGGTAAATTATAGGGTATCCTACCCTGAAACCATATTCCAACTTTCTGGAGTTCCCTTTAGGGTTTCAAAGCTTCAGAACTGCAGGTTCGGCTCCTGGGTTATTGCGATTTTCAACTCCCAGACTTCGATATGTGGGTTTAGGGTTTAGGGATTTTTGTCCCTGCCCCCCCGAACTAGGAAGCAACGCCAAGGGCATGGATCCCCCAAGGCGGAGCCCGAAGTTGTAGGCCTGAGCTCCCCTAGCTAGGGGTTGCGGAGGGTTTCGGCTTAGGTTCAGGGCTTTGGGCACGTTGATGGACAAAATCCTGCATTACCCTTTATAAGGAATATACCATAGTAGTTTGGAGTCCTTAGGGTCATGAAGGATTTTGCCCATCAGCAGTATCAATTCAATGCTTCAGAGGCGTTGCATAGCGTCGTCTTCCTCGAAGGGAAGATGCCAGCGGTCCCCGGAGGCACCGATCTGAGGAAGCTTCAAATGCAAAACCTTCCAAGTTTCAAGCTCGAGTCGGATTCAAAGCTTAGGATTCCGGCCGAACCCTAAACCTACAAACCCTAAACCACCAAACCTTGGGGGTTTGGGGAGTTCAGGATGTGTTGGCATTAGGATTCTGAGTTCTGCTTTCCTGCTGTTTTTGTCGGGGTCTTTTGATTGGTAGGCCTTCATGGGGGGATTTTGTGTTGTCAGATTCTCATTGGTTCTGAAAACTTTCAAGATGCATCATCCGTTGCCAATCGAAGCCCTAAGTAAAGGGGCAAAGGGCCTCATGGATACGCTTCCAGCAAGTTGGCCTCACCTGCCCTGCTGTCTCCTCTTATCCCCAAAGCCTAGGGGGCTAAGGTTGCTGTTTTTGTTTAGGCTGTTGGCGCTTGACCAGCTTCTCAGTCGACCTGTCTCTGTCTCATTCCTTGTGTTTAGGTGGGCTGAGAGCTAAGGCTGTACCCCCAAATCCGACATTCCCATCCTCCCAACTACACCTTAACAATTGCATACCTGCGCACTGTGGCTCTCAACCCGACATCTCAGCAGCAATAGTCACTCTGCCAGTCCCAGCAGTGCTGACAGTGGTTGTGGTGGCGGCACTTGTGGTGCTTGTAGCAGCCCTAGTACTTGTGGTACTCGTAGTATCTTGTGCACTTGTACTAATTACTTGCAGGGCTTGTAGTGTTTCACTGGATCATTGATCCAAAATCTGAGTCGCGAATCCCGCACCATGCCAGGTTTTTACTTCGAAGTGTGCGTGGAGCAGACACTGACTACGGAGCTGGATGGAGTCTCTGCGCATAGTTGGGTGGTGATAGCGCAGATTTTGGTTGAGATCATGGTTTACGGTTTGAGGGTCGGTCTGGCATTGTAAAGTTTCGCGGTCGGGTGAGTGCTAAACGGTGCTGGGATTTTTGGTTTGGATTCTACCAGTAGGGTGTGGGTTGAAGTGTCATAGGTATGAATTATGACTATGTATAGCCCAAGTCTGAATGAGTTTAAGCTGCAGGTGGGTTTTTGGGCCTTAACCCCGAGCCCGAAACCTTAAATGCCCAAACCCCTAAGCCCTAAACTACCCATAGGCCCCAAAGTACTTCCTTTTTGGGATTACCTTATAGGATTCTTTATATGAACCCCAAAAAGGAACTACTATGGGGCCTGAGGGTAAACCCTATTTTGTACTGTGAGGGCCTGGGCAGTCATACCTGTGGACCGTGAATGCATAGTTTCTGTGCCCCCCCCCGGGCGGCTTTCAGGATTTCAGGCTTAGGGTTAAAAGTCCCGTCTAATCTGTAATTTACAAATCCTATTCTGGGTTTAGCGAATATAGTTCAAGTATAATAGACGCCAGCTCTGTCAACACCGAAAAAACCCTACTGTTTAGGGCACCTTGAAGGAAGCTGGCGTTACGACTGCATCCGCAGGCTGCTGTTTGTAGTGCGCAATGAAAGGGTTCTCCTTCCTACAGAATCCTGCAAATGCTTTTACTTTCTAGGTTCGAAATCCGCATTATGGCTTGCATAAGTTTCCTCTAAATATGCAATTGCGTTGGACTTTTTGGGAGTTTACGGTAGAAGAATCCGCGACATGCCAGGACTGGTGTTGGGGGTTTGCGGCTTGCGCCCCTCGCAGGAGCCACAGAGGCGTTGTTACATACAGCAACCCTCTCTAACGGTCTGAGGACCCTTGTTTATGATTCTTTTAAAATTTTTGGAGCTTTAATGACCTACTTTATCAGATCCTCAAGGTTGATTTTCGTATCCCGTGTGACTCAAAGGCCTGAACGTCGTCCCGCTACAACCCTTACAGAGTCCTCACAACATCTACAGATTTGTCCAAACCAGAAGCCATCATCTACCAGTTTGTACTGAACCTGAGTACACATGCCATAGAAGTTCTGTGAAACATCTAGAACTGCATGCAAGCAAGCATCGCGACAGATATGTGAGCTGGCATTACACATAGTTGACAAGGTAAGCCCCAAAGATATGTTTCAGTAACATATATAGATATGCACACATACAGATACAGGAAGATGTAAGTACCTACACACACACACACGCACATGTTTGTATATTGTATGTATATGTATATGTATATGTATATGTATATGTATATGTATATGTATATGTATATGCATATGTATATGTATATGTATTTGTATATGTATATGTAGATGTATATGTATACGTATATGTATATGTATATGTATATGTGTATGTATATGCATATGTATATGCATAGGTATATGTATACGTATATGTATATGAATATGTATATGTATATGTATATGTATATGTATATGTATATGTATATGTATATGTATTTGTATATGTATATGTAGATGTATATGTATACGTATATGTATATGTATATGTATATGTATATGTGTATGTATATGCATATGTATATGCATATGTATATGTATACGTATATGTATATGTATATCTATATGTATATGTATATGTATATGAAAATGTGCATGTATGTATGTGCGTATGCATGCATGCATGTATGTATGCATGCATGTATGTATGTATGTGTGTATGTATGTATGCATGTATGTATATATGTATGTATGTATGTATGTATTTATGTATGTACCCATGTATGTACACAAGCAGTTGGGTAAGAATAGCACCCTTCACTTATGTTTTGTAGGTGTGCACATTGCCTCAAATGAATCAGTGGATGCAGGAGGACATGGCATCCTTCGAGACGGCAGACGACGTACCCAATTCCTGGACCTTGGGCGACTTGGACAACTCGTGCTGGATCTGCTACGGCCATACAAAATCCTAAACCCTGTAGACTGACCCTAAAGTCCAAACCCTAAGCCCTAAACCGTATAAGCCCTGATCCAGGCTACAATGGAGAGATGCGATTCCATGATGAAGACGAGAATGTGCCGATTGGCTGGAACCCCAAGGACGCCACGATTTGCAGTTGACAAACCCTGAAGCAGAGAACTCTTCAGATCCTACGGGGATACTTGCTAATTCTTTTCTTTTCGAACCCCCTAAGGTATATAGCCCCGCAGGATAGCGGTTGCTGTCAGTTTTAGTCTGGATCCGAACCGAAAGCACCCAAGTTGAAACCCTAAACACTGAATCGTACACCCTAAACCCTAGTTGTACAGCTCCTATTGCCTGTGGCTTCAACCTCCACCCTAAACCAGAGCTTCAGGGTGTTGAGGGTCCCAGATATTCATCTTTCTTTTACTACTGCCGAGCTTTTGGGAGGCTGAAGAACTAAAGCAACATCCACGCTACAGCTGTGAACCCTATAACCCCACATCCTGAAGACCCAAAATACCAGTTTTGGAATGGTAGCCCGAACGTACGTAGCAACAGTTCCAAATCTCGTACACTAAGCCACCAGCACCCGCCCCCTTCAGTGAGCACAAGAACTTTAATTGAACCCTTTGATTCACTGAATTTAAATTAAAATCAGGAATCAGGACACAGCAGTATTTTCAAGAAGTGGTGTCATAAACCCTCCCTGCATAGTTCCTTTTACGCCCTGATGCCCAGATTCGTGGATTTGCGAAACCTAAACCCTAAAGCCTAAACCCTTAGGATGCCCAGTAGTACCTTTATTCCCTTTTTGTAGTCCTAGGTTCCTCATAAAGTTACCCAATACCAAAAAGAGAGGCCTTTTTATTCTTAGGTTACTGGGTATCCTAAACCCTAAACTCCACCTGACAGGACCTGGCAGTCGGCGATGTGGTCGGACTCTTCGTCGGCGAGGACGGCGAAGGCAGGAATCAAAGGGGAAAAGGAGGGGCCCTTAATGGGGACCCCTACCCTATAATGGGCATTATAATGGGTATATATAATTGCTATGTTAAGGGTATATACATAGGGGTCCTTATTAAGGGTCCCTCCTTTTACCCTTGGAAGGAAGCGTGCTGCCAAACCTGCCACGTGTGCTCCTGGCAACATCTGAAACCAGCAACACGCAGGGCCCCTTAGAATAGGGTTCCTTTTAAACGGATCTATAAGGGTTACTATAAGGGATCTATATAAGGGTTGCTATAAGGGATCTATATAAGAGTTACTATAAGGGGTCTATAAGGGTTACAAGCAAAAGCCAATGAAACCACATTGACCCTACCCCAAGGGCCGGTTGCGGGTGCGGAGGGGTGTCGGAGAAAGGCGAGCTTTATCAGAACGGCGTGGAGAAGCTCTCCCACATCACCGGCATCCCTCCAAGCAGGAGCTTGCCTCCCGGCGTAGAATCGAAGTAGGGCCCGGGAGTTTGGTCTTCAAGCTTGGTTTTTTTTCCGGCTTTTAGGGCTGAGGGTTTTAAGTTTGAGGTTTTTGCTCTGAAGGGGTCTTTGGGTTTTGGGGACTCTCGGGTCTAAAGGTTTCTTAACCCGGAGACGACCATCCTAAACCATATGGGTAATAGTCGAAATCAGGGTCCCTTTTTGGGGTACCCTAAATATTAGGTGCCGTATTTATTGTATTAAGGACGACCAAAGAAGGGACCATAATTTAGACAACCACCCATATACTAACATTGACTCCAAGCCCTCAGCCCTACAACACTCCTATAAATATATGGGCCAAAAACTATATTTTACACCAAAACCTCATTTTAGATATTAAGGCCAGTATATTACCGCCATCTCTACTAAGGTACGCCTTTGTGGACCTCTTGGGCAACACAGGGGCCGTCCGATTGCTGCCTGGCCAGCCACCGACGAGGGCCCCGAGGTGAGCCGGTCGTTTGTAGTATTCAATTTCGCGTCTTATAAAGGCCAGGGCGCTACCTGTCCGAAAAGGGTCGGCGTGTATATGAGCGCGGTTGATACTTTGGTTATAGACTGGTTCTCCAGGCATGCTTACGGTTCAGGCTTGTAGGTAGTATGGAGGATCCACCCTTAACCCTCTAGGGTTCAGGGTTTAAAGTTTAGGGTCGTGGGGTTCAGAAGTTTGGGTGTGCTCAGGGTTTGGGGCGCAGCGGTCAGTGTCGGATTTACAAGCAGAAAGCCCTAAACTATCGAAATACCTACAGGGAAGTTTCAGTCGCGACACTCTGAACCTTAACCCCAAACCCCCAAACCCCAACACAAAACCTTTGACTCTAGATCCCTAAAACCCCCTATAGACCCTAAACCCTCAAGCCTAAATCCCTAAATCCTGGTAGTACCATCGCAGCAACGCTTATCTGAACCCTGAGCCGTCCAGGCCGCCGAAGCCAGCCTTGATCGCTTATGACCTCAGTCAGGCGACTCGCCTCCTTTGCCCGCCTTTCAACAAGGGATTTTAAATCCAGGATTCCTAGATGGGTTCCTTTAAAGCTTTCGTCTGGGGGCTCCCGGTTTCATCATGGCTTTGTGGTAGCGATTGGGGGGTCACATGGTTTCCTATGGCTCCAAGTACCTCTATAGATTGAAGGATGACAAGTTGTATCCTCCAGTCGAGGTTGAGGACTTTAGGCCCCCTGGGAATTTGGGAGCTGAGTCTGGGGTTCTTTGTAGGGGTTTAGGACTTAGGCTGGCTTGGAATAGCTTTTGGGTACATTAGGGTATTTTATGCGAGCATTCTGACCAACGTGTCTAGGCTCCAGGCGTGGATATCGGTGGCTGAAAGTTTGCTTCGCGAAGGTGCTGTCTGCCTTCGCGCTCTCACCCAAGTCGCCGCACGTAACGATGTCGGCTGCGACCTAACTGCACGATGAGAGTTAGGGAGCCCCGAACCACAATACGGAGGCTTCAAGGGCTACAATAAGGCTCCGGGCTCTCGAATTACAGTTCAGTATATAACCCTAAGGAATGTTACTCCTGCTTCTTCAGGACCCTACATTTTTTCAACTATCCTTGACTAGGCCCTCGACCTCAAGCCCCCATAACTCGAATCGGAATGCCTGAGCAACAAAAACAACTCGTCACGATCTGTGCGGCATGCCGTCGGTGGCCTTCGGTTTGTTTGCCCAGTAAGAAGTCCAAGATGTAGAGCGAGGCTGTACGCCCCAGAAAGATGGTGGACAGTTCTCGGGACGAGAGTCGGCGCTTTGATCATGTCTTGTTAAACAACTGACAAACTTGTCATACGGTTGCACAACACCAGTCCCGAACACACTCAGCCTAGAAGCCCTGCAGACCCCTCTAACTAGTTCCTGCCCTAAACCGAGGATCCCTAAACCCATGGTCTCCGAACCCTGCCAATCCCCAAGCTCTAAAACCCGAAACCTAAGCTTCAAAAAGGCCTTCAAAAAAAAACTTAAACCCCAAACCCCAACCCCGCAGCCCTAAGCCCGCAACCCCAAACCCCAAACACTAACTCCGTAGCCCTAAGCCCGCAACCCTAAACCCCCAACCCCAAACCCCAAACACTAACCCGTGCTTCCCTAGGATGCCCAGTAGTACCCTTATTATCTTTTTGTAGTCCTAGGTTCCTTATAAAGTTACCCAATACCAAAAAGAGAGGCCTTTTTATTCTTAGGTTACTGGGTATCCTAGTTCCGCTGCCTCAGGAGATGTTGCTGGCGAGATGCAAGCCGCCAGGATCGGAGGCTCACTTTGGTTTGGGTTGGGGTTTTGGGGTTTAGGGTTTAGGGTTCCAGGGTTTGGGGTTTAGAGTTTAGGTTTTTACAGGGTTTAAGGGTTCAGGGTTTAGGGTTTGGGGGTTTAGGGTTTAAAGGGTTTAAGGGTTCAGGGTTTAGGGTTTGGGGTTTGGGGGTTTAGGGTTTAAGGGTTCAGAGGTTCAGGTTTAGAGTAGTTCTCGGGTTCAGACTTTTGGAGTCCTTGATTTTCGGGTTTACAATCGTTAGGGTTTTTGAGTTTAGGTGTTGTAGATCTCTGATTGACAAACACAAGGAACAACACAGGTTACTATATGGGTATCACAAGGGTGCCAGAGTGCTTTTTTGTGGGTGTGCAGAGAGGGTTTTGGAAGGGTTGGTGTGGCTTTTTTCGATAGATTACAGTAGAAGCCCAAAACTTGGAAACCCCATAGCCTCAATCCTTAAGAGTAATGTATAGGGAATCCCAGCACTATTTGGCCTTAATCCGGTTTCCAACTTTATGGAGTTTACTGTACATCATGTCGCTCAGAGCCTGGAATTGTTGGATGCCCCGTATAATCCGTATCAAGGGAAGGGAGTGTACCTAAAGTCTCCATTGGAGTTCCTTTTTGGGGTTACCTTTTAGGATCCTTAGTATAAAATTGGTTAAACCAAAAAAAAGGAACTACAATGGAGACTATAGGTATTGATGCAGGGGTCCAAAAAGAGGACCTGTCCGCCTTTTCCACTCTCCTGAAGCTCTGAAACCAACATACGGCTCTTCGTATCCAGAACAGGGTTTTGGGGTAGATTAAAATACAACTCAATGTCGGAGAAATCTTAGGAATCGTTCCGACCCTTATATTTCTTGGTACTTTGAGCTTGTCATTCCCTGACGGCCTGTAGACTTCTAGACGTCCATCAAACTACCACTCAGCTTAAATAGACCCTAAACCCTAAGCCCGAAATCCTAAGTGAACTTTAAAAAAGTCCTAAGTGAACTTTAAAAAACCCTAAGTGAACTTTAACAAACCCAAAGTGAACTTTAAAAAACCTAAGTGAACTCAAAAAATCCTAAGTGAACTTTCAAAAAAATCCTAAGTGAACTCAAAAAATCCTAAGTGAACTTTCAAAAAACATAAGTGAGCTTTAAAAAAGTCCTAAGTGAACTTTAAAAAAATCCTAAGTGAACTTTAAAAAATCCTAGGTGAACTTTAACAAAATCCTAAGTGAACTTTAAAAAACCCTAAGTGAACTTCAAGAAAAATCCTATGTGAGAGGCCCTGGGCCTGAAATCCTTAAGCCCTCGTGCCAGCAATCCTTCGCGGGAACGGACCCTTGTTTCGCCTCGGGTTTATAGGAATTTGGGGATTTGCGGGGCTTAGGGTTTGGGATTCCGGGCTACTGGCCCGAAAGCATGGGATCCGTAGACTGAAGAGCCTGCATAATTACTTAGAGTAGGGTTTTGGGGCCCACTGTATTCGCCCAAATTAGCCTTATAGTAGAATGAAGAGCTTAGCCCTAAGCTCCAAACCCCATTCCAGGGCGCTGTGGTATTCGGCAACGGCGCTGCTCCAAGCTTTCCGGCGGGGCACTTCTTTCAGGCCGTGGCCGACCACCGAGACTCGTGCGTGTGCTTCTCTCTTTGTCTTTCCAGTGACTTTGCAACTCGTGGATCTCTGGCACACCGTAGAGCCGGAAATACATCATGAATAAGCTGTATTATAGGATATAGATTATATTATGTATTATATGAACTCTCTACCATATACTATATACTATAGGTTATATATTATATATTACTGCAACATTGATCTCGCGTTCGACTTGCATGTCGATGGCAAAGTAACCGTTTCATTTAGGCGTGGGCATCCATATCCCGGGGGTGGATGGCACGGCAGCGAAACAGCGTGAGAACCCAAGCTGAGAGCAGCAAGGGCAGACGGAAAAGCAGAGACGGCGACAAAGACTCAGAGACACAGAGAGGAGGAGAGGCAAGAAACTGCGGCATAGATAGGACGTAGGTATCGATGTGGGTTAATGTTTAAGTTCCCCTTACTGCTTAATATAGAGCCTTAATGATAACAAAAACGAAATTTGGGACTGCTGATATGTCCATGTCCATCGCACTGCAAGTTTGCATACAGTACAAGGCGCCCTTAAAGACTTTAGGCGGAGGATTTTGCCCACACAAGCGCAACGAAAAGGGAATCTGGGAAGGCAGTTTATGCAATGAAGCAATGGCCATGTCCCAAGCAATCCGTTCTTCTGAAAGCACGTCTACATCAAGTCTACATCAGAATATACCGAAGAAACACTAAGCCCAGGCATCTATCCTAGCGGAACGAACATGTAGACAGCATCGTCAGAGCTGCTCAAGAAAAATCAAACAACTCTGACCGGCAACCCTAAAGCCTGAACCTTGAAGCTTGGAGGTGCGGCTGGAGACACTCGGTGCAGGTGCTCGGGACATGTTCAGAACGTCTTCTGTGGGTCTTTTGCCATGTCGTAAAATGAAATAACGTTCCAATTTTGTAGGACCTCCAGCAGGGAGCTCTACATGTTGGCAAACTTTTTTGTTTCTTTTGAGACGTCGTGTCGCGGTGATGTCAAGCTTGTAGTCGCGCCTTTTGGGTTCCTATGGGATGTGCATGCAGCTGTGGGCAAGGAGGTTGGTTCACTCTAGGACCAGCAGTAATTGGCAAGGCAAGTTTCCCACATAGACCTACAACTCCCAGACGAATCTAACATACTGCCCCCCAAGACCAATTCCATACCCTGCCTTGATAACTGAATTTCAGTTCAGGTTTGGTGTTGTCACGCTTTGTGGCTATGTTTTCCAGGCTCCGTATTGAGGTCGCGTGTTAAGTGGTTCGGTGTTCGGGTGCACGGTACCCTAAACCTTAAACCCCTAAATCCTAAACCCTAAACTGGGTTTTTGCGGCTTTAGGGTTTTAGGGTTCCTCTTTTGCAGTCGTTTACCGTCGAGTCTTGGCTTCTGCTTTGCATTTGCGACTTGTGGTGCTTGGTGGTACCCATGGGTTCCATGGTAGTTCCTGCTTGAGATAACCTTATGGGATCCTAAGTATGAACCACAAAAAGGAACTACAGTGGAGCCTATGGGTATGCTTTTCCGATGTTTGAAGCGAGGAGATTGGACGCAGGCTCTAGGATTATACTGTTGCAGCTTGCCACCCTGCACCGTCAGCAGACAACCCCCCAAATCCGGAAGCCTGAGCCTGGCAAAAAACACTGTGTTAAACACCTATCAACCCTGAGCCATTTAAACACCTATCAATCCTGAGCCATTAAAGGACCCTACATACAGAAGTGGTTAGATCAACAAACGGAGCTACAATGGACACCCTCGACCCTAAACCCCACTATAGGGACCCTAAACCCCACTATAGGTAAACCTAAACCCCACTGTAGGTAAACCTAAACCCCACGATAGCTAAACCTAAATCCCACGATAGGTAAACCCAAACCCCACTATAGGGACCCTAAACCCCACGATAGTTAAACCTAAACCCCACTACAGGGACCCTACTAATAGGTAAACCTGCCTAAACCCCACTGTAGGTAAACCTAAACCCCACGATAGTTAAACCTAAACCCCACTATAGGGACCCTAAACCCACTAATAGGTAAACCTAAACCCCACTATAGGTAAACCCAAATCCAGACCCCCAGGAGGATCCAAATAGTAGATCCCTTAATGGGGGTTCCTACTTTAGGACCCTAAACCCCAAACCCTGAACCCTAAACCCTAAACCCTGAATCCTAAATCTAAACAGACCCTCCTGCAGGAACCCGGGGCCCAGCTCTGGGGTTTGCCGCCGGCGCTCCCGGCGAGGCCGCCAGAGGCCCAGAGGCCGAACTTCAGCGCTTCCGGGCTTGGATGAGGGTTCAGAGTTTAGGGTTTGGGGTTCAACTTGGAAGAAATAGGGTTTAGGGTTTTAGGGTTTTAAGGTTTAGGGCTTGGGGTTCAAAATTATTAAAAAGAATTAGGGTTCAGGTTTTAGGGTTTCAAGGTTTAGGGTTTGGGGTTTGGGATTAAAAAATTAGGGTTCAGGGTTTAGGGTTTTAGGATGTTAAGGTTTAGGGTTTGGGGTTCAAAGTTTTAAAAAATTAGGGTTCGGGGTTTAGGGTTTTAGGATTTAAGCTTTAGGGTTTGGGGTTCGAAATTTAAAAAAAATTAGGGTTCAGGGTTTAGGGTTTTAGAGTGTAGGGTTTGGGGTTCAGGGTTGAAGTGTTTTTGGGACTTTTAGAAAGCATCAAGACAAGGATTCCTAAGAAGGGTAGGGTTTCTTCAGCGTCGGGGTTCGAGCCTGGTATGGTAGTGAGTTCAGGGAATGGGGCATGGGGTAGGGTTGTTGGAAGGTTCTGATTCTCGGGTTGTTTTATAGGGTGTTGCTAGACGGGTCTGAGACTGTGGGGGTGTAGCCTCGCGATTTGAGTGTTAAGTCTAGACATTCATGTTTTTGGGTCCGAATCTAGCGTTCGAGGGAACAGTGTTAAGTAGGTTTATGCAAGGGCTTTTGTTCGGGCTCTTAAAAGGCTCTGTGGGGTTCACGGCACAGGAATTTTGAGAATTGGGGCATGTGTTGCACAGGGATTTTGCTGGGGAAGTTAGGTGGTTTGGGAACCTCGAGATTGCATGGCAGTGGACCCTGGGATTTACAAGGACTCTAGAGCCGCAGGCCAGAGGCTGGCTTATTGAAATGTCTAACTTTTAGCGGCCCAGGGCCTGGAGTGCAGAACTCGGTTGTAAAGGAGCAACTTTCTGCGGAGACGAAGTCTGAAGCCCTATACCCTAAGCCCTATACCCTAAACCCTAAACAGCAAACCCCGGAGGTGCCGCAATCCTGCAGCATCGGCTACGAGGGCAAGGCTTACGTAGCAGGCTGCTGGGACTATCCAAAGTGACGATAGGGGCCTGAGAGGTGGAACACGGTCGGCGAGGGGCGGGGGTACATTGTATGTATGTGTGTGCGTACATGTATGCAGATGCATGAACACACATACATCTGTACATACAGAGGTACATCGGAAGTGTAAAGGTACATTAACTACTACTCAGTGCGAAGACCTCAGTAGCAAATTGCGGAGGGTCATGCCTCAGCAAACTGTAACATCCACCTCCGAGCATGCCACTGAACTCTAGTAAAACTGTTTGGATTTCTTTTCGGTTTGCAGTTGACGGAAAGCCTAAAACCACACAGCCCGACCGAAGCCTCCAGAAACGGTAAACAGGAACCTTCATTTGGTTTGCAGACCTGGGGTTTCTCTGGAACTGTATGAAGCAATGGAGTCTCCAGGACTCAATGCACCGTACAACGTTTAAGCAATGGGGGCTCGGAGTAACTCGCAATCATGTCGAAGTCCTCGCAGTATGTCTGCAGTATTTTGCAACCCCCCCCCCTCCCAAACCTGGCGCCGCATGTTAGTCTTTAGGGTCTTAGGGTCTACAAGTCTACAAGGCTTGGAGTTTAGTTTGTTTCAGCTCCTTTTGGCAGCTGCCAGAGTGTTTTTTAGGGTTTAAGTTTAGTCGCGATTTTTGGGGTTGACTCATTTTTCCTGGTGGAGGGTTTGTACAGAGGTTACCAAGCTGTTGCCCAAGCAGCCTTTCGAACCTTCGGGACCAAACATCAAAATATTGAAAACGAAGCCGCTACTATATGTATATATATATATATATGCATATACACACATACATACATACATACATACATACATACATATGTATATGTATATGTATGTATATATATATACACATGTATATGTGTATATACATATTTTATGTGTTATACATGGTAGATACACTTACATATACGTGCGCAAAGCCCGATTCTAGTTCTTGACCCTTGTCTCTCTCTTATCAACCGAAGCCACAAGGTCGATCAGAGCCTTTGGCCTTGGAGTGGTCGCCCAGCGCTTTGCAAAGTGGGGATACCATGGGGCACCTCGACAAGTGAAGGTTTACGGTGTAGAGGTTATAGCGTTTATATAGAGTGTTCGCAGCTTTAGGTTTTGGCCTCGGGGTTGATGGGTTTCAGTCGGGTTTTTCAAGTTTTGTGTGATGTCGTTGGGATAGGGATCAGGATTTCGGCCCAAAATATCCAAACATATATATATATATATACATATATATATATATATACATACATATACATATATATATATATATATATATATATATATATATAGATCTCAAAACAGAAACTAGACGTTCTATCATGTAACCCCAAGCCCTCAGCTTTAAACCCCAAACGCAATGCAGGTTTCAGGATCTGTCGGGAAAGGCACTGACAGCACCCACTGTTCGTTCGTAGGTATTGCTCGTAGTCTTAGTCGGACCTGTGGTCTGTTCCTGTGCTCCGACAAGCCACGAGTGTTCCGGAAGAAGCATGTCTCACCTTCAGTAGGGTACTAAACCCAAGGGGTCATTGCAAGTACTCTCATTCTGGGCTTGGGAGGCTCTAGCCCTGTCGCATAGGGGTTTATGACCGCTTAGCTAGAGGGTGTATCCCTATAAACCGCAGAGAAGTGGGTGGTTGAAGCCGCGGGCTGGGTTTAGGGTTCTACTCCAGTTTTCCAGGAGCAGGCATCACCGAAGCAGCCTTTCGCAAAAAGCCACGTATGGGGTCTGAGAAATTTGTAATACATAATTAGCGCTGGCATAGGCATGCGATCAAATACCTCAGGTAGCTATTCTGGTTTGACAGACCCCTGGAGGCTTTTGATCTCGCCGAATGGTTTCCTCTCGCTCTGCATCAACGGCCGCTACGTGGTGCGTGATGTGGCAGGACAGGGTGAGCAACCATTGCGGTTTGGGATGGAGGTTAGCCGGTCAGCCCCTACGCACCAGAAATTAAGGCTAATTAAGGTTTCTGGATTGGGAAGTATCGTTAAGGACCAAAGGACCCGGGTCGCACCAAGCACCCGGCGCCTTATGCAGATGTAGGGTAGGACCGTTTCGGGGCGCGTATTTCGGAGTTGGCGACTGACATCTTGTCTAAGCAAGGTCTATGGGCTGACCCTGGACGATCCATTTGCCATATGGGAGTTTCCGAAAACAGGGGACCCTAATGTGGTACCCTAAATAGTAGAATCCTTATTATGAAAGATCCCGAAATGCGGTACCCCCTAATTGTCGGAAACTCCCAATATGCCCCTACAGGAACCCTAGGAACCCGTTCTGGCATCATGAGTGATCTCTACTCCCCGTTGCAGTTTTTCTTGATGATAAGATCCCAAATATAAAGCTGGTTAGCAAAAATCCCGCGGGAATGGAGGGGAACATATGAGGATGAGAGAAGGCTGAAGAGCCATTGGAGTCTTTAAAAGCTGAAGATTAGGAGGGCTCGAAATCGGTGAGCCTGAACCCAAACCGCAAACCTCCAAAGCCCGTACAGCAGCAACTACAAGAAACTTATCCAACCTATTATCCCTAACCCAAACAGACCTTGGTGCTCTGAATCGCGAAAGCCCTGACCTAGGGCACCGAAGTATACCATAACTTACCCCACAACCCATTCTTCCAGAGGCCTCTGACACCAAGCTCTCATCCCGATTTCCGATTTCGGGTTTGGGGTCTCCTTCGAAAGGAAATCTCCCCAGTGGTCAAGCGTTTCTCCCGTTCGTGGACTTCGGGCAACGCGGGGCAGCGTCCCTTGTCAATTCCTGGGTGTGGCTTTTGCGGCTTTTAGGATTTCGGACATAGAGTTTAGTTAGGGCTTGGGGTCGTAGGCTTCGGAGTTTGAGGAACGTGGGTTTTGAGTTCAGTCTGTAAGGCTTTGGAATGCAGGTTCCTGACCGGAAGCCCTTGGTCTAAACTCTCTGCGGAGGGCTGAGACGACAAACTAGGTCCAAAACAAGCCTAACGCTGATTACAAGGATAGACTAGACTTGTTCAAGTTCCCATTAGCCGAGTCGGAAGCGCTCGCACACGTAATGCTGGTGTGCAGCAGTCACTGTAAGCCGTTTTTTGTGCGGTCTAGGACAAAGAATGCTTTCAGCGTAATTGGATTACTGTGGAAAGCCCCCAACCCGCTTGAAACCCTTAAACGCCCCCTATCCTATGGCCCTATGGAACTCTTGAATGACCGTAAGTACTCGAACTCTTGAAGCAACCATGCAGGCTTAGCCGTAAACCGTTCCAGAACCCTGAAACGGACCACAAGAGCCATAATGCCATACTGGAATCCTTAACGGATCTCTCAAGCCGTCACACAAGCCGCTTCTTGCTGAGGATTTCTCTGGATCTCGGTGCCAAGCCACCAGATCACAGGCAACGTCGGATCAGGGCTCTCTTGGGTGGTTGTCAAAATTATATTTCCCTTTTTAGGTCCCCATTAGAATACGGCACCTATTATTTAGGTACCCAACAAAGGGGCCATAATTTCGACAACTACCCACTTATAAGGGCTTTGTCAGGGGTGTTTCTGTGCCCATCGTCGACGACTTCTGTACTTTCGATCAGATGGGACAAGAGTATTCAAGGCTTTGGGCTTCCCTAACATCGAGACCCTGAAGCCCAAATTCCCTCAACCAAAACCCGAAGCCTCTACAGTAGAAGCCAGAAAGTTGGAATATGATTATCCTAAACCCCTTCTATGGTAAATTATAGGGTATCCTACCATGAAACCATATTCCAACTTTCTGGAGTTCCCTGTAGCCTGCTCTATGGAGTGGCACTCTTTCCTGAAATCGATCGGCGCTCGTGTTTTGCCCTCAGTAAGCCTCCGAACCCTGGAAGAACCCTAGCCAACCAAACAAATCTAGGTAGAGCTTTGGGACATTTTATATTTTCCCTTATTGTGCTTAAGAAGATCTTATTTATTAATATTTTTCAAAAGCTTTAAAAGCCCCACCTAGAAATCAAAGAGGTTGGTTTGCGGCTTCCCTGTACACCCCAAAGCCTGATCCCTCAACAAGGTTCGGTGGCTTCAGTCGCGCCCTGCTGAGCCCCGTCGTCACCTTGAAAGGCAGCGCTGCGAGACGCACCGGCCCGGATCCCGGACTTCCCATTTGCTCCCTTACCCTACCCTAAGGCCCCATAGTAGTTCCTTTTTGGGACTACGTTATAGGATTCTATATATGAACCCCAAAAAGGAACTACTTTGGGGCCTTAGGGTAAGCCCTCATCAGGGTCCAAAGGAGCCAGTGACGGGGATTTGATTATTAGGTGCTACTGCTCTTAGGGTCATGTTCAATGTATCCGTCCGTGATTCGCATTTTATCTCCAGCAGCTTCCATATGCCTGAATGGGCAGAGCCTCCGGGCAGCTACTCCCCTAGCCCTTCAGGGCTTCGAGGAGCAATTTCGGGCTTAAGGGGTTGAGGGGTTTAGGGTTTAGAGGCTTCAGGCTCGAGGGCTTGTGTTTTGTTCTCTGTGCTTTTGCATGTGTTCGGATGTCAGGATTCTACGTAAAATTGGGCTTTCAGAACTGTTGGATTCTCGCTATCTGCGATGCAAGATTCGTGATTTTCTAGTCGGCACTTTGGGGAACTGTGATTTTCCCTGACCCAGAGCCATGGATCAGGGCAGGACCGTTGAATTGCAAGCCACTGTTCTGGTGCTTGAGCCGTCACGTCAGTTCGGCAGTTGCACACCATGTGCCCAAGATCCGAAGCACAAAGTCGCAAACCGAGAACCCTCAGCCCCTTAGCCTTAAGCACAAGAAGACTGAACACAGGTGTGCATCCAAAAGGCGCCGGCCTAGGCGCAGGGTTCAGGGCAAAAGCGGGAAGTTCGTTTCGTTGTTTGTTAGGGGTACTTAGAAATAATTCTTAATCTTCGGTTATAATACCTAAGAACCAGCTAAAATAATAATTTTTGCTACGGTTCTAAGTTCAGTATAGGAGTTTGTTCCCCGTTGTTGCGAGATGAACCCGAGCGGGGCCGGGGGATTGGGAGCTGTTCGTTTTGCTTGAGGTTTGCAGCCCTGGGTTTCTGATGTGGGGCTTCCATTGCGGTTTGGCGTTTGGTTTTTGTGTCGAGGCTTTGAGGTTTTTGGATGGGATATCAGGTTGCAGAAGGCGTTGCGGCTTTTATGTATGGCTGCATACAAGGTCAAGTTGGAGATACAGTGCTTTGCAAGTCCTGCTTGAGACCCAAAACAGGCTTCCGGGCTTATAGACGTCTTGACAACGCTGCATAAAGCCATGTAGGCCCTTGGTCATTGATGGCCTCCGCCACATCTCATCAGGAGCTGTGCTCTTCGGGGACGGGCCGCTGCGCGCGGATGCCGGCGTTCGATACTTTGAAGTTTGCATTTCGTCGGCCAAGTCTTTGGGGGCTCAGGTCTCGTGGTTTGGGTGTAAGGCTTCGCGATTTTGGGGACTTGAGATGTGGAATAAGGGAATTGGAGGATATGTACTTTGGATTCGGTCTTTTGCGCGGATTTGGGGGGTTTAGGGAATAACTAAACCAGGGATTGGGGGTGCAGGGTGTTTTGGGGGTTTTCGGGTCTTGGGGTGCAGGGCGTTCAGCAGGGCTGGAGGGTGTTGCGGTGTTGTGGTTTAGGAACATGAGTTGTGGGATTGCGTGACACCGTGTGTCTCGAAGGGCTGAATTTAAATGTCAGCCTCGGTGTGTGGCTGTTGGTTAGGGCCGGTTTCTTAGTAGCTGAGTGGATACACTTTACACTTTTGGGATAATATTACCCACTATAAAACTGAAAGTGTACACCTTTTGGGGCTTATGAACTCAGCTACTATAAGGTTTGGGTTTAGAGTTTAGAGCTTCGGACTTGAAGTTGATAGTTTGTCACAGACACCGTTGATTGATTCATATGCCCAGGGCCCCTCGAACAGCGATTCTGAGTCTGTAGTCGGGATCCGACAGTCGTGGGCCGTCATGACAGGCACCAAGCAGGGGTCAACTCGGAACGTTCCATCTATCCCAAGACGCAATCATGCATTGGCCCCACATCCCCCAAAGGGCCCTACATCTCTGAGCTGTGAGGTATCGAGGATGTCACTTCCGCGTTTGCCGATGGCTTGACAATCGGAGTTGCCTTCGTGCCTCATCTCGATATGCGGTATTCTTCAGTCAAACGGGTGTGTCCGTGTGCCTGTTCATGTGTGTGTGTGTGTGTGCTTGCGCCAAATCAGACATAAATACATACATATGTATATATATATATATATATATATATATATACATGTATACATATATATATATATATATATATATGTTTATATATATATATATACATACACAGACAGTCACGCATTTCTTCCCATGGCAGTTTGCTGCAGCGGTGAGTGGCCAATGCCGGGCTTTTCGATGCTGGTCTCCTTTGTCCCCCTTGATGTCAGACATGTTTGGTGTCTTCCGTGATGCAAGTTTGTTTTGAGAGATGTGAGTACCGATGATGCTTTCGGGTCGTGTATTGAAATAATTCGCAGGCAGTTCTGTTCGTAGGGAACTGCTTTGGGGCTTTTCGGGTTTGGAGTTTTCCGGTTCGGAGGTCCGGCTTCTGGGATTGGGAGCCTCCGGCTGTGCCGATTTTGGTTTAGGGTTATGAGGTCCAGGATGTTGAGGGTGGAAGTGTAGGGATCTCAGGGATGCTTTCTAATTCTGGTCCTCCGGCATGCGCACCGACCATGTTAGATCTTTGCAGCACGAAACTGTTACGACAGACGGAGAAATCACTCATCTGACGGTCACGTGAATCTCGATTATCTTTGCTCACGCTTCTCAACCTGAAGCCATAAACCCTAAACTCTATGCCTCGACAGCAGGGTCTCGAGTTCAGGGGTGGCCTGACCAAAGCTTCAAAGCTTGGAGCCTAAACCACCACAGACCTGAAATCCAAAGCTCTGATCCCTCAACTCTATCAGCCTTCAGTCTGCAACAGGACATGCAAAAAACGCCCAAGCACTACACCTTGATCCCCTTTTTTGACTCTCAACTCCCACAGGGAACCCTTGCAGAGCCCTTTGATAAAGCCTCCTAAACCCCTCAACCCTGATTCCTAAAAGGGACCCTAATATAGAGAGCTACTTAAATTCTAAGGACTCTGCTTAAGAGTAAGAGAACTACTAAGAACGAACCCTTATATAGTAGCCTTCTAGAAACTCTATAGAAACCCTTATGGATCCCTTTATAAAAGCCCTTATTCAGAGAACTACCCATATTCTCATTCAGAAAATCGAACCCCAGGAGTTGCCAAAAGCATTTCCGGCAGAGCCCTTCGCTACCAGCGAGGAGGTCTTCCCAAGAAAGGGTAGATGAACAGGGGTAGATGTAGGGGCCTTACGTAATAACTACGTATACTATTTTTTGGGGGGGTGGGGGGGGGTCCCTTATTCTAGTTGTAGTCTAACATGCACCAAAACCCTATGCTAAACAGTTAAGGCCCCTATACACTATATATCCTTTTAGCAACTCCTATATAGAGCCCTGTCAAGGAACCCTAATCTAATTACTTAAGGCCCCCTATATTGGGAGGCGTCTTTCGGACTTTCGGGCTTCGTAGGTTTTGTCAGGGTTGCGTAGGACTTTCATCAGGGGTCAAGTAGGTAATCATCACAGAACTGCTGAGTTGCTGTAGATCCGACGAAACTACAGTTCCAAGCCCAAGTGCCTGCTGAGGCTCTTCGACGTTTTTTGCGCTTACCTATAGTCTCCATTGTAGTTCCTTTTTGGGGTTACCTTTTAGGATCCTTAATTTAAAATAGGATAAACCAAAAAAAGGAACTACAATGGAGACTATAGGTAGGGTGTAGAGTTTCGGATCAAGGGCTTTTGGTGTAGGCAAAAATGAAACGATCTTGCAGAAGGGTTCTAGAAGGGCTGTCAGGTTTAGGGCTTCCAGAGGTGAGACATGGAGGTTCCGGGTGTGCGGTGCGGGTCTGCGGGTTTGGCATTCAGGATTCACAGATTTTGGGTTTTCCGAAAATCTAGGGACCTGAACATAGGACCCTAAATAGTAGGATCCTTCTTATTTCGACCCCCAAAATAAGGTACCCTTATTTTCGGAAACCACCATATCGAGGTTGGATTTCGAGGGATGAATTAGGGTGTCTTGCAGGTGCCAAAATCTCTTTGCTATGGCTTTGATGGCATGGCACACCGTCCGGCTGCCCAGAAGGGTGCAGAGAAGTGTCTGAGGGTTCAGGGTTTCGGGTTTATGATTTAGCATGAAGTTTAGGGTCTAGGGTTCATGGTTTTGGGGCGGTTCGTTCGGGGTTCAGGGCCCAGGGTTTAGGCCTTTGGATTCAGGGTTCAGGGTTTGAGCGACAGGTTCACGGTTTCGGGTTTAGGGCACATCCTCCACTGACAGGGTCCGATGACGAACCATGATAGTAATATCAGCACTGTCACGGATCCTGCCCCAAAGTACGTTGGGGTAGTTTGAAGTCGGTACTGTGCACTTGACATTCCTTCAGGTTCCTAGTCTATTGATTCTGTGTAAACTCCAACGTCGTAGTCGTGCGGTTCAGGCTCCTACAAAATGCCATAAAATTCCCTAAACCCTAAACCCTAAACCCTTAAACAGTGGCTTCGTGCAAAATAAACCCACAAGCGGCACACTCGAGACCCTGACACTCCTCCTTACCCCTAAGACCTGTAAAGCTGTAAACCAAACCCCCCAAATCCTGAAAGTCTTAAGCACTGGACCCTTCAAGCTTGAAGTTGCAAGGCTATAACTGGGAAGAGCTTCTTCCTATCGACTGGAACCCTGCGACGTTGGAGATTGGAGATACGGTGGGCTTCTGGGCTGCAGGTTTACAGTTTAGAGTTTGGGGCTCAGGTTCTACGGCTTCGGGCTTGAGCTTTGAAGTTGAAGTGTAGGTTTACAGGATAGAGTTTCGGGCTTAGGGTCTAGGGCCCGCGGTTTGGGGCTTGAGGTTTAAAGTCTAGGGTGTAGAGTGGTCTGGAGTCTTTCTATGCCTTTTCTATGGTCTGACATGGATACCCCCAAAAGTACTTCATACTCCCCACCCGCCAGTAATTTCCAACATGCAACACGACTATCCGACTATCCCAAGCCCACTTGGAGGCCCAGGGGACTTAGTAAGTAGGTTATAAGTAGGGTTATAATTGCGGTAACTCCGTTTAGGGTACTTATGACCCTACTTATAACCTACTTACCAAGTCCCCTGAACCTCTAAGCAACATGAGCTGTAGATCCAGGTGCCGCCAATGCCATCAGACTGAGGCTGTCGGGCCGGAGCTGCTAAACCCGAAGCCCAGAAGCCCCAACCGAAACCCTGCAAAACCCTATCACTAGAGGCTCCATGGTAGTTCTTTTTTGGGGTTCATATTTAGGATCCTATAAGATAATCCCAAAAAGGAACTACTATGGAGCCTATGGGTAACACGTGCTTCTTGGTCACGCTTCTGCTCTCGGCTCTAGGGTTAGTATTCATCACACGACATCCCAAAGCCGGACACAGGTGCTTTGCAAAAGCCCCCTTCGTGAGTCCTGTAATGGTGCACGGCGTCGCGCTGCCCAGTCGAGGTAAAATTCTATGGCTTTTGTGTATTTATACTCTCATATATGCCACAACCTTTTCTTACACTTAAGGCACCGATACTACATCCTGAACCTGGAACTGGGCGCGCCAAGCCGTAAATCCTCAACCCCAGCTCCTGAAACCCTAAACTCCTCAGATTAGAACCCGTATAGATGGAAAACTGGAGAACCTTGCAGGAAATACGTTAGAACCTAACGAACGGAAACCGTTATAGAGCCCCTATGTCAACCCTAAACCCTAAACCCCCAACATGCAAAGCAAAGCTGTAGAACCTTGAGCCTCTTGCCCATGAGGAATCCTTTGCACTGCCGAGGGCGTGCTTCAATTGCGCCTTGATTTGCAAGATGTGAGGCCCTCTAAGGTATTGGGGTATGGGGGTTTGGGGACTTCGGGTGTAGGGTCTGGGGGATTGGGCGTTTATAGGTTTAGGGTTTAGGGTGGGTTTATGGGTATTGGGGTTTGGGGATTTAGGGTTTAGGGGTCTAGGGCTTGAGCTAGTTACAGTAGTGAGAGTAGTATCGGCGATCCTTATAGCGGGTTCCCTGGACGTGAGTGATTGAGCAGATGATGGAGCCCGATATAGCCCCTAAGTAGCTGCTCCTCATTAGAAGGACGCAATGTAAGATGTCGCTTCTGTTCAGCTCCCATATGAGCTCTTGCTCTGCACGTTGAAAAGGGCGCTCAGGTGTACAAGCTCTGTAACTGGGTCTAGGCTAGGCAGAACACCAAAAGCACTGAAGCCTAAACACAAACCTCAGGCAAGGTCCAGAGTTTGTGTTTCCAGCCCGATGCTGTCAAGCCTGTGAACCGCAGATCCTTGACCACAGGCCTTAAAACCACGAAGAGTTAGCGCCCGAATTCAGCTCTCCAGCACTGTGCCAGCATGATTCGAAGGATCGTCAATGGCATTTTGGAGTCGGAGGCATTGCAGGCACATCTTTCTTGTCGGGTTCAGGGTCCTGGGATGAAGAGGTGTCTTGGGGCTTTCGAGGCTGGGGCCTAGGGTTTAGGGTTTAGGGTTTTTTCGGCGTCGGGTCAAAACGGTTCGAAGGACTTTTCGAGGGCTGGGATTTGGGGTTTACGGTCTATGGGTCTATGGGAGTCCATGAAGCTTTATCGGGTTTACAGGGAGCCGGGGTTTAGGGTTTAAAGTTTGGTAGCGATTTCAGGTAGTATGGGCACCGTTCGACCGTTCCTACCTTGAAGGCCAGCATGTTCAACTCATGCTGCCTTTGCGAAAGCGTGATAACATCAATAGAATCCCGGCAAAGCTTCATGAAATCTGTTGACACCTGCAAAGCGTCTGATACCCTAAACCCTAATAAGCCCCAAGACCCGGAATAGGAACCCGAAGACAGGACCGACACACTCCCCACGCGTCAGGTACCCAAGGACTTAGAGCTTTTCCCTCTTGTGGAGCTCATGGGGAACACGCTTGCAGCATCTTGGCGCCTGAATTTTGGGGTATATAGGTAGTTGTCTAAATTAGGGTCCCTTTTAGGGTCCTTTGTGTAAGGGGTTCTCCCAGAACGTAATTGACAGACAGGCAATACGTTTTGATCCGCGAGACTCGATAACTGGGGCACCTAGACCTGGCAGTGTCCACAACATCATCCATCCCCGACTAAGTTACTTGATAAATTTCACCCCCCCCCCCCCACACACACACACACAGCCCCTGCTGCTGATTGACAGAACTCTGTGTTTGCAGGGAAGAGGAAACGTCAAATATCCTTTAAACTACACAAGAAGCTTTGAAGATGCCTTCAACAACAAAAGTATTAAACAATCCCTCAACCCAAAACCCCAAACCCAACCACACATCAAGACGATTGGAAACATACTAGACCCCAAATCCAAAGAGACATGAGCGCAACTCGAAAAACCTATACAATCCCCGAACGCTAAACCTCTACATGCCGCAGCCAAGGTGTCGGTGAAGGCCGACGCATCTCCGCCAGCCATCCAGCGAAAACCCCCGAAACCGCCTGAGGTGAAGGCCTGGGCTCCGGCTTTGCGGTTTTTTTCGAAGGTTCAAACACGCATTGTGTAGGGCTCGCATAGGGTTTTCATAGGGTTTCATGCGTTTGCTGTGGTCTTCTTTATGGGGTTGAGGCCTTAAACTCTTCACCAAACCAAGAGCACCTCAAACCCTGAAAACAGATCATCAACATGGAACTACTAGTACCCGCAGTAAGAAGATGTAGGAAATACAGTTACGTAAAAACGCAGTAGCTATGATAGTCCCAACAATAATGTTACTGCCTATAGCATTGAACTATATACTGTTACTGATGGCCATAATAGAAAGACGACGTATATTAGCACCATTATAACGAATAACAGTATCACGAAATACGTCGAATCAAAAACCAGTTGAACTTATGCAATGACGAGTTAAATTGCAACAACATAGCAGTACCAACCAGCAGGACACAGTATCAACAATCAACGATGATAGTAATCAAAACAGGAACATTACCACGGCGACGACGACGAGGACCCCTACCACTACTACGTCTCGCATCTATTGCTTTCACGACTTATCATCATCGCTATTCTTCTTTGTGGAGAGTTATTCTTATCATCGCTGTAACAGGTTTTTATTGTATTCTGAGTATCATCTGTACTAAAACGATCATAGCTTCAGGGTTCTTGGGAATCACTTTCATGTTTCTTTTAATTAACGCTAAGGGACTATTGATAATGATTTCATAGCCCCTTCCAATTTTTTCTAGCACAAGAAGGGCACTGAGCCCTAAACTTTGAACCCTAAACCCTAAGCCCTAAACCCTAAACCCCAAACCCCCAACCCCAAACCCCTAAGCCCTAAACCCTAAACCCTAAACCCCAAACCCCAAAAGCCCTAAGCCCTTCTAAGGGGGCTTAAGATGGGCGCTGCAGGCCCCGGAGCCCGAGCCGCCGAAGGCCAAGGCGGCACCTCCTCCCGAGCCAAAGCCGCTGGGGCCCTAGCGGTTTTGGGTTTGGGATTTATACACCATACCTGAACCTACCAAAACCTACTTTTTTGTAGGGTCCCTATAAATTCCATATTAGGGTTAATAGTAAGAACCTACAAAAAAGTAGGGTTTGGTAGTTTAAGATAGGCCAAAAGTAGTTCCTTTTGGGATTACTTTATAGGATTCTACATAGGAGCCCCAAAGAGGAACTACTGTGGGGCCTTAGGGTAGTGCTTATGGCGTGTATAGGGTTGTTCGGGTTTATAGGATGTACAGGGCTTATGGTGTGTTTCGTGTATAGGGTTTCTAATGGTTACAGGGTTGAGAGGGTTTTTGGCATTTATATAGGGGTTATAGGGTTTTTGGGGTTTAGGGTTTATAGGGTTCGGGGTTTAGCGGTATGGGGTTTAGGGGTTTATAGGGTTTAGGTTTAAGGGTTAAGGGATTAGAGGTTTATGAGGTTTATAGGGCTTCTGGGGCATTATAGCGTGTAGGGTTTGGGTTTAGGGTTTAAGGGTTTAGGGTTTGGGGCTTGATAGCTTTTGGTTTGATGGTTATCTGGCATTTTGTCGTATGTTGCGATTGTAGCATATTTCCACGGTGTAAGAGGAACTAAAACAATTTCATTTGGTTTCGTGGCTTGTGGTTTGACATTTAGGCTTTTGCGGGTATAGGGCTTTTCGGGATTTGGGGTGCTGGGCTTTCTGGGGTTCGTTTTGAGGGCTTGTGCGGGTTGGGATTCGCTTATGTATGGTCTTGCCTCGGGAGGTTTTTGCCTGCGAACAGCATTTCTTTGTCCCTCAGGGTTTACAGTGTTTGGGATTGAGATTGTCGGGGTACCAGAGGGTTATATAAGCTGTTCTTCCCCGAACAGGTACAGACTCGAGGCAGGCATAGGCATCATGTCATTGAGCCCGCCTTAGGAGAGTATTTTGGCCGTGTTCCACAATCCCGCCAGTACATAGAGGGAATGCCTGTGAATCCCGCCAGTTCTCGAGGGCAAGCATTTTGGCCGTGGTGTCCTGGTGGTATCATGGTGGTCCTTTGCTTGGTCTCCTGGAATTTCGTGGTGGTGTTTGTTGTCCTCCTGGTGGTCTCCTCGTGGTCTCCTGGTGGTTGTGGTTGTCCTGGTCGCCCTACCTGCGCCAGCATAATTGCGACAAGGCCTCAACGCTAAACCTCAAATCCCAACCTAACTTCTGAACCCTAAAACCTGAAACCCTGCAACCCACAGCCCGTAGCCAATGCCAACTGTGGATGAAATTCCAATGCTCTGAACTGTAAACACTATATAAACCCTAACCCCCAAGCACACAACCCCTTCCATCCCCACATCCTGAGCCCTAAATTGTGAAATGAAGGCTTTGCGCGTAGTTGAGTTAGTCAGCCGTAAGCTTTAAAGAGAAACGGAGTTTAACTCTCTTGAAGCTGAAAGTCTGACGGTTCTTTCGGCTTATATGAAACCTATAGCTGACACTACACTCCGCTAGAGTAAGCCCTAAACAGGGCGGCGCCTCCTGCACCGGCAGCGGCAAAGCCCACCCCGAAGTCTCCTAGCCGCAGACGGTGTAGGGCGTAGGGTTTAGGGTATCAGCCGTTACGGGCCGGGTCTTCCTCTGGGCTTTGCGTCTACTACCCCAGGGCTCCATAGTAGTTCCTTTTGGGGGTTCATATATAGATTCCTATAAGGTAATCCCAAAAGGGAACTATTATGGAGCGTATGGGTAGGCATACTATAGACCCAAGGGCTGCTACAAAATAGTTTTTGAGATGGCCAGAGCATTCCCTGAAGTTGGTGCTTGTGTCCGCCAGAGGCTGCATTGCAAAGGGTACATGCCGGACTCTTGCAGACATTCGTAAGCCTACATATCTCCCAGGCAAAGCCTGCCAACTGACGCCCTTTTCGGTTTCTCAACCTTGATTTTGCCTCGTAAGAACAGGTCATTTCCTCGGCCAAAACCCCACACCCTGAAGCAATGTTTGAAACCCTAAACGCGTCGGGTGCTAGCATCGTTTACAGAAATCCTGGTGCCATATGTCTCAGACAAAAGACAGATTTCGTGTCGCTGCCAGCAGAGCGACGGCATCCTGGCAATGGTCGGCACCGGTGTCCCTTAATTCCTAAAACTTTGATTCGACTTTGACTACTTACTGTTCTCATTCACCCCTAAACCCGAACTCTTAAACCCTAAACCCCCAAAACCATAGAGTATGCTCATGAGAAGTTAATCCCCCGGACCAAGGCCGCAGGTCCGGGTGTCGCAGGCAGCACCGAAGCCAGTGCCCAACCCAGAGCAAGTGCTTGGGAAATTGGAGTTTGGGGGTTTGGGGTTTACTGTTGGGGTTACGGGTTTTGGGGTGTAGGGGTTTTGAGGTTATGGAGTTTAAGGTTTGGTAATGCCCAACCCAGAGCAAGTGCTGGGGCTTTCGGGCTGTAGAAACCTGAACAATTGGGAATACTGTTCCGTTCCTTATGATGAAACTATAATACATGATTCCCACGAACCTTATTCCAATTTTTTCGGCTCCTATACTACGGGTTTCTGGGGCGTGGGGATTTGTTTGTGAGTTTTAACCCTAAGCCCTTAACCCAAACACAGCTGACAAGTCTAGGGTCCAGGGTGTGGGGTTTGTGGTTGCAGGTTTTACGTATGCAGTGGTTATTTAAGCCAAATAGCCCATCTTTTTGAGGAATTATGAGGGTTACAGGTGACCGCGCGCCTCTCACACCGAGGACATGCCAGTGTTTCTCCCAAGAAGCATAACCCTAAACTCAAAGACCCTAAACCCTAGAGTCCCGAAGCCCGAAGCCCTAACCCTAAACCCTTTTTTAAACAAAACAAACCTAAACCCTAGACCCTAAACCTTAAACCCCAAACACATAAAAAAACAAAAACCTTAAACCCCAAACCATAACCCGAAGCCCTTAGTTCTACGCTTTTCGCGAGGTGCCAGCCCCTCCGCCTGACTCGGGGCCAGCCTTCCACGCAAAGCTGCTCAGCGATCAGGCAGATGTTATCTTTCTGCTTAGGTTCAGTGCCTAGGGGCAAGGACGATTTAGGGTCCAGATCTTTTGATGTATGGTTTAGGTTTATGTTCGAGTTAGGTATGAAGGTGTAAGGGGATAGGGTTCCCTGAAAGATCGAGCTCCACCTCCAGCCTTCAACTCCTGTGGTTACCTACTTTCAATGCTTACAACCAGTGACAGTCCAGCAGACAGAAGCCCTGTTTAGAGGCTCAAGGGGGCCAATAATTTGGTAACAGGGTTTAGGTTTTTTTCGAACTTTGATCCCTGAAGTCCTATAAACCCGAAACGCTAAATTGATCCCTTGGGCTTCGGCGGTCGTTGCAGTGCCGCCAGGTGCAGCTGTCCAAGGATGGCCAATCGATCCGGCACAAAGACGACAGTGGCCAGCAGCTCTACGGACGCCCGGCTAGGGTTTAGGGTTTAATTCGGGTTTATGGTTTAGGCTTCAGGCTGGGATTACCTTTTGCAGGGCTTTACGTTAAAATCAAAGGATAATTGTGCCACTGCTTTGCAAGGTTGCAACCTGCACTGGAAACCCTATCCTGGGTTTCAGGGTCGAGGATGTAACTATTGAATTGTTGGAAGTGCAACACCAGGTGCTTTGCATCTTCGGTTGATGGGCTTCGGGCTTTCAGTTTAGGTTGGACTTTCTGGGTACAATACATAGACCTTCAGTAACCCAAAGCCCCTATACTCTAAGCCCTAAGCCTGGAACCGTAGTATACCATTAACACCTGAACGAAGTCAGCTATATACAGCCAAACACCGAGGCGTCGCCATTGGTGCTCGGCCCCTGACAGCCGGTCCGGGGGGCCGTTACTTCGAGGTTCGCAGCTCGTTCGGGTTTTCGTGATAAGGGTCCAAAGGACCTAAGGTACCTAGGATCAAGATGGTAGTTTTGTACGTCAATATTTCGGAGAGCATATGATTATCAGGTTCTGGGACCGTTAGGGTAGGTTGTTTGTGTTTGCCTTTCGGGTCGGCGCGTTTAAGGTTGTAGTGTTTACGCCAGCGGGGAGGGAATTAGGGAGGGTGGGTTTAGCGAGATTTCCTGACTATGCAGTGTTCGCTAAAATAGCCCGTTAACTACTAGTGGTTTGTAAGCTAGTCATGCATAAAAACAACCTTCATAATTTAGTGGGAGCGGAATATGTCTGCAAGATGCTTGAGACCGACCGATGTCCTAATTAGTAATGTGTTTTACTCAGGATTCCTCTGCTATGGAAAACACTCGTCTAATTATCCCATCGGGCTCAACTGCTATGCCCACAGCTTTTAGCCCTAAGTCCAACAAGCCTCAAATGAGAGCAATATGCCCTGAACCCGTACGGGCTCCTCAATACAGAGTGGTTTTGGTGTCTCTGCCGACGGGTTTGGGTTTTCTACTCACATACGGGTGACTGCGGCATGTTTGCAACATTTTTCCCTCTGTTGCAAAGAGTCGTGACCTATTCGTTTGTAACAGGCATTTGTTCAGGCCCGAACCGTCTGCTGTGCCATGCAAGTCTTTGAGACAGTTTCAGGTTTAGAGATCTTCGCAATAACAGGGCCGCTGAATGCCACAGGAGATGTCAACAGCTCAGCACGGACCCAAATCAAAGTCCGGAACTGACCTTGGGGTCATAAGTACGTATATGGGGGGAAACATATACGAACCGCGGAAATGTTCCCGAACGGGGCCCTGCCTTCTACGATGCAGGTACGTCGGGTCGGGTCCGTCGGGTCGGGTTGTTCCGGTGATGCAAAAGCCCACCTAATCCAAAACCCTAAACCACTTGTAGTCGGTTCAAACTTAGTCTGAGTAGGTAGCCTTTAACCTTCTTGGGGCACTGGAACCCCTATAATCCCCAAAATTAACCTTTATAGTTCCCTTAGGCCCTGGACAAGTAGGCAAAAGCCCAAGCCATGTTGGCAGGTTCGGGTCGATCGGGTTCGCGAGGTGCCGAAGATGCCGGGTTCCGGACAACTTCCCGTTTTACTGGTCCAGGTTTTGGGGGGTTTAGAGTTTAGGGTTGAGGTTTTCGGGTTTAGGGTTTTGGGGTTTAGAGCTTAGGGTTGAGGTTTTCGGGTTTTGAGGGTTTAGAGTTTAGGGTTGAGGTTTTCGAGTTTAGGGTGGAGGTTTGGAAGTTTATGGGTCCCGACTTTGGGGGTTTAGTTAGCTCTGACGATTCTGCATGATCGACTTAGAGTGGATCAGGGCCGGGGTGGTTGGAGTTTAGGTGCTTCCCTACTTTGTCATAGTTGTGTACCATTTTACATTTTTATCGGTACATGAACCCAATAAGGAAAGCAAAGGTACATGTTTAATCCTATCCCAACAATGAACTTCCCATAGGCTCCATAGTAGTTCCTTTTTCGGGATTACCTTATAGGATTCTATATATATGAACCCCAAAAAGGAACTACTATGGGGCCTTAGGGTAGATTAGGGGTATCGGGAACGTACCGAGGGTTTTTAGCATCCCCGAGGCCTTGGCATCCCGTGCTTCCGCTCTACCCGATCCTTAGCAACTCAAAGGGGAAAAGGAGGGACCCCTCCATGGGGACCCCTACCCTATAATGGGCTATTTACTGGGTATATAATGGCTATATTAAGGGTATATGCCTGGGGGTCCCCATCAATGGTCCCTCCTTTTCCCCTTTGAGCAACTAGACCCCGGAGTCCGAAATCAGCGTCAGGCTAGGGATTTAGAGGGTTATGAGCACAACTAGTTCGCATGACCCGAACAAAACACCAAGCATAAAGCCCACCGATATAAACTCACCATCATCCCAAACCCTAAACCCCAAATCCTTACAACACACATCATAAAACCGAAAGAGCCACTCGCCATGGTGGACCTCATCCTTAACATAAACAGCCGAGGGCTCAGGCCTCTATACGACCTGAGCAAGGGGAGATGCTTCTACCATCGGAGCCCAGTTCCCTGTATAGTGGGTTGCTATGTTCCCTGAGCCCCTAAACCCCGAATCCTTTAACCCCTAACCTTCCATAAAGCTGTAATTAAAAAAGTATTCTCACTACAATGGTCTTCTACACTTCCGGCTAATTTGCTGATTCTCACTTCCGGAGTTCAGGATGCTTATTAAGGGTCCATGTCCTTCTGGGCTTGTTGGACGTTTTGACAGTAGCTCGTGTGAATGTGGGATCCCCGAACCATCCGGCTCTCAAGCCCTACACCCTACACCCTGAGGTGATTCATTCATTTTAAGATTAAGTTATTATAGGGGCAGCTCTACTAATTTTTTTGGGGGGGAGTTCCTTATCATAGCTCTAGTAGAATGTAGCCCAAACGCCCCAATAAGAAGGCCCCCGTATGCATCCCCAAGCCCTCGCGCAACGCAAGAAGCCACAAAGATGCAGGGCTCGGCAGATGGGCTAGCCTTGGGATTCACCCTGGTGCCACCGGAGGAGCTAGAGACAGGACAGCCCCGACCGGATCTCCTTCTAATCCCCCCCACCTAGGGGCTAGGGCTCCAGGTGCGCAAGGAGGGTTTGTAGGGTTTCAGGGTGGGTTTGCAGGAGTCGGATGTAGGGCCCTATGTTCTGTGGGGTTGCAGTCTTGTTTCAGGAGACACGTTGCGAGTGTTGACTGCATGTGAATCAAGGGGCATGTATAGGTTCACCCTAAACAGCCCGTTGGGGGAGGGCTTGTGCATCGATCGAGAAAGCCTCGGTTCCATCCAGTGCAAACTTATAGCATGAACCCTCGACCGCAAACTCAAGACCTTCACCCAACAGAATTCTAGACTACTTATCCAGGCCCTTTTTCCATTGCATACTTACTAGCCTTTCCTAAGCCCTGGACTTGGTTAAGTGGTGCCATGAAGTCACAATTTCCCCAACCGTCTAAACATCCCTCCAGTGTAGAGGCTGCAGAGATCTTGGAATTTACAGACTAGGGCTTTTTTTGTTGGGTTTAGTGTTTCTGGGGTATGGCGGGTGTGGTTTAGCCTGGGTTCTCGGATTCGGCTAAACCGTAAACCCTAAACCCTAGCATTTGAGAAACCGTGTCTGTCCCAACCATTTGCACCCTCCCGACATGCTTAAGCCTCGAACTCCCCCAAGCCGGATTAGGGTTGAGGGTTTGGGAACCTTTCACTTTTTTGGGTAGTGTAATTAGCCCGTGTATAATCCCTATATATCCAAAAAGGTTAACCTTTATTTCCCCATGATGCCCGACAAGTAGGAAAAAACATTTAAAACCTTAGGCCCTGAAGCTGCTCAAAAAGCCTTGAACGGTTGCAAATATGCCCTAAGTCCTAAGTCCCAGCCTTGCGTTTAAGTCTCCACCCCACAGTCCCAGTACCCAAACCAGAATCCATAGTCCCTAAGCCATGAATGCCTACGACCTGTTCCTCATTCCGAAACCGTACATGAACCCTAGACTCAAAGTAGTCCATGCCATAAGCCCTCTACCCTACTCCATCTGCCTGCCCGAGCCGTGTTTCAAACGTTTGTCCCTAAACCGCCTAGCGCCTCAGACCCCCGAAGCGGCCAACACACACACGGAGTTTGGGAGTCCATCAGGACTGAACCATTCACTTCCAGTTTTGCCATAATATGTTGCTAAAGTCGACGAACACCTGAGATCTAAGTCACACCTGAATGAGCAGATTGCAGCAACCATGCACGAACTCGAGTGTGGCAAACATGAAGCTGTCACTCTAGTGTTGGTTACTCCAGTGCCTCAGGGGGCCCACTGGCTAATCCGAAAGCAGGTACACAGTGGTGATCAGCCACTGCATCCACTCCAGTGATTTGGCTTCGTTGGGCAAGGCTGATCACTGGAGCCCTTGCCCCCCTGCTGACAAAAGAACAATGCAGCACTGGAAAACACTTGTATCGCATGCACCAAGAACCTCTAGCTTAGAATCGAGGCTTACACACACACACCCCTCAGTGAGGGGAAGTCCTGGGTCCTGTGTCCAATTGCTGTGGCGACGAGACAAACAATGCAGTGCTGAAGAACGTTAGTAGTGAAAACGTCCGAACCTCCAGTTTACAAGTGCATGCAAACATATACATACACGCTCACATGTGTACTTCAAAAGGGCAAAACTGGGTCCTGTATCGAATCGCATCAGGCACTGGTTCTTTTACAAAAACTCGCGACATCAAGTCCTGTCGGAATCAAATCCTGTCGGAATCTATCGATCACAGATGTTGGTAGCCGTCTTCATCATGCAGGAAACAGTAGTGCGGCCCATACCAATCATGTTGTTGCTCCTGAGTAGTATGGTGACTGTGATAGCAGCAACGTTTCTCGCAATGTTGGCATCGGTGTTGGCAACGAATGGGTCCATCCTGAAACCGGAATCTGCGATTGAGCCTGTCCCAGATCTGCCAGAGCAACTCCAGCAACTGAGCAGTGGATGCTTGACTGACACGCCACTGAGTATCTCTCATCATTTGATTGTCCATGGCTGCTGATTACCTGCAAGATATGAAAACTCGAACTTGAAAGGTGGATTCACGCGTTGCCTCCTATGCACATGCTGCACAACAGAGAGAGGCACAAGGAGAGAGAGAGAGAGAGAGAGAGAGAGAGAGAGAGAGAGAGAGAAAGGAGAGAAAGAGAGAGAGAGAAGAGATCAACAGCTGTGGTCTTGTTTCCGGGACCTGGGCAGATTGCAATTGTTAGTCCGTCGACGATTTCTTCGCTGTCTTCAAGACATAGCGAACTAAGTCCAATGTGCTGCGGAACCTCTTCTTAGGTCCTGGCTTTTCTTTAACAATGCGATTTCCGTGTTTTTGAAGGAAGCCGAGGATCAACGAAGCACGATTGGGAATGTAAAAATCGTCGCCTAAAAAGCGGGTGTTCTCCATATGGCGTCGAAACATCTTACGTGGGCTAGGAAGAATCTTGATCCTAACACCGTCAGAGTCCTCATCCATCATGCGCAAACGTCGCCGAGGTTTGTTAAGAAGTGGCTCTGGTTCCGGAACAGGAACGGCTTCAGGAACAACTGCACTGTCCTCCAATGATTGTTCATCTGTGGTACCTCCAATGTGTGCAGAGTCTACATCTGAGCAATCCTCCGGGGTGATGCATCGAGGTATGCATGTAGAAGAATTTTCACCACTGTCAGTTTCACTCAGATTGTCGACGTACCATCCTGAGGGCATGTACTCGTCAGAGATGGAAAAGGAGTCACAGTCATCTGACGCAACCTCCGGAACAAATCGAGCCATGGTGCAATCCCTTGCTCCTACCGAGGGTCCTGAACCTATGCGCCGACAGAAATGCACAAAGGACATTCAAGAAGCAAACCATGCAACGGCCACTGTCCTGACGCGTACCTTTTATACAGAATGAATCAAGTCACCATACCTGTGGATTCCACCGAGTCGGGTGGTTCTGTACATCATCGGAATCCCTGAAATCTGGAGCGGTCCTCACGAATTGAACCACATCCAATGTAGCCAGTGCAGTGATCGGTTCAAGGAAAGAGAAATGCCTCCCGTTTTGATGTAATTGGAAACACTGCAGCTGGGGACGGCGTCCTGTCATCTCTTTGATCCTATAAGTGAGAAGTTTCTTGACTGCATCGATATTGTCCACACTGCTGCACACCAAATGAACGATCATCGCCTGGTTCCTGGTGCATCGATCAGCTGGCATCTGAACTGTAACTCTGACAGCCTGCGGCTCACGCGGAAAACCCGCGTCGGCGGCTGTCCGTTTCATGGCTTTGATGTACGAATGTTCTAATCCTGCAGCCATGAACTCCGCAACAGGTATGTGTGTTCACTGAGAAGCTTGCGACAAAAGAAAGATAGGAGAGAGAGAGAGAGAGAGAGAGAGAGAGAGAGAGAGAGAGAGAGAGAGAGAGAGAGAGAGAGAGAGAGAGAGAGAGAGAGAGAGAGAGAGAGAAGGGAGAGAAGAGAGAAGGAGAGAGAGAGAGCACGCAGTCCAACCTAATGTGGCAAACCTACTGCAACTGACCAAAGGTCCTGCCCTTTTCACGGGAATCGGATGCCGACAGAATTTAAAAGCTGGTGTGCACTGGGCTGTAGAACGTTCCTCGGAAACCCTTGGGCCTGGTAGATTTCAATTAAGTCCTCCACCTGTGGCCGAATCAATCGCATTGGTCGTGAAAGTCTGATGATAGTCCGAACCCTGGCCGGAAACCCATAGAGAACATGTTGTCTCCTGCCAACTGACTGCAGTGTACGGATGGTTGAGGCAGCAGGGTTGTACCACCGTGATGGTACCCTGTGTGACAGAACATGTAGTGCCTAGAAATGTCTCAGTCGACACGTCCTCCAGGATGATGGGTGCGCCATAGAATTCAAGATGAAAGAGCAGCTGAAGCCACGGATTCCTTTGAATGCCTGCCTGGACATGAAAAACTCGATTGTCCGCATATCGAGCAACTGTCTGAAAACCGATGTTGTTCAGGATGGTGCGAAAATTCCGAAGCCACAGAAATTCAATGGTCGAGGCGACCAATGTGCATAGTACCGGTGCGAGTGCCGATCCCATGCTGGCGCCTTGAATCTGCCTGAAGGTATGGAAACCACACCGAAAGAAACTTGATCGTAACAGGAACACAACCAACTCGGGCAGGTCCTCCAGATAAAGTGTCTTGGTGTTCCTTGCAGCAAACCTACGGCGTCCACGAAAGACGCGAAAGTTGAGATCCTTGCTGCGACCGGAAACCTGCAGCGATTGTGACTGCCATGGTTTTTGCCAACGACCTTCAAGAAGCTGCAAAACGAAGAGCAAAGATTGCGAGATGCGATCATGTGGTACAGAATTAAAGAAGCCGATGAGGTCCTGCTGTTTCATGATGGTGGGTTCATCTGCAGAAAAGCCCATCATAGAATGCCACATCATGCGAACTGCTTGTTGAACGGACAGCACATTAAATGTGGATCCTGGCGGAAAAACTACCAACATGATCTGGAAGATCGCCTTGGCCAGGAAGGTCGTCAAACGAGAATGCCAACAATGATCACACGCAATGATCGGTCGTGCTTTGCGAAAGTCCTTGTTGGGTTTGGGCAGAATTCGGGCAACAGGTAACGATTCAGTCCATTGACATCCCCATCCGTATCTTTGAGACCTCCGGGGGGTAGATTGAAACCGCGTCTTCAGGTTCGACAAAATTGAGGAGCACCCCACACTGCATTTCTAAAAAACTGTCTCATCCAAGAATGTAGTGTCCAATAGCGAGTGAAAAGCAAAAGGACAGGCAACAAGTAGAGAGGAAGGGAAATGATCAGCCGGAGTGAAAACAAGTCCTCGCATTTGTCGAAGATCTCGATGAACTGCTGTATGAACCGAGGACTTATCATGACAAACAGTCTGTTCATGTAAATGACATTGATGTTCAACCCATTGCCGCAGTCCTGAACGAACACGAGGAGGTAATCTCCACCTTTCACACCATCGCTGCACCTCCCTGTTCGCAATACACTTCCATTGTGCTGTAGGCAAATAACATGTGTCATTAAGATTCAGAAGGGTCAAAGGAGAACCCGGAAGAATCAGACGTACATGAGCAAACAGATGTCCTGTCGCCGATGAGGTCGAGTATCTCGTGCATCTGCAATTCATCGGCTTGCCTGGTTGCCATGATCGAAGAAAAGACCTGAAGTTGAACACGGTCCTGGACCACGGACGAGATTTGATCTCAATCATCTTGCAGGATGGCAAATGCAAGGGTGGAAAATTTACTCTTTCGTGCCGTACAATTTCACGGAGAACCCTGCATACTTCCTGCTCGAGATCATGTGCAAGGGGTGGAAGGCGAAGGGGCACATTGGTTGGTGGCATGTGTCCTTTCCTGAAATCCATAATCAACCGCAGCTGCTGAACAGCTCGAGTCCGGAAGGGCTCGTCAATCATGTGGACCAGCCTGCATCGAAGATACAGTTCCTGCAGAGGTGTACGATGAGAACGAAGTCGCCTGGACTCCAAGAATTTCTCCAAGCTGTCACTTCCCAAGCGATAGAGATAGAGAAACACTTGTTTGTTGCTCAACAGATGCTGATGATATATTCCATGCCGACGTCGAATCAAAGACTGACACTTCCTTGTGAACCGATAGCCTGTTCTGGCCTGAGGTAGACGAAATCTGTTCTGCTTGATTCGTAGTGACTTCAAAAGGTCCTGAACCCAAGGAAAATTCAAAGCCGGTCTAATGGTCCGAATCAAGGCAGCTTCCGTCGCAAGCAATGACAAATGATCGGAGTCCTGATGCAGGGCCAAAACGATACCTTGATAAAAATCGCGTTTGCGATGAAACACTTTGAGTGCAGGTTCAAAATGGGATAATCGTTTCCTGACCAATTGAATGAACTTGCGCCGTCTCGAGGCTTCACGTCCTGGAACTGTTGTCCTGGTAGCTCCAACATACAGCAAAGCTGAGGTCGCTGAGCGATTCAACGACACACGAAGATAAACCATACCTGAAGTCTGATGCCAATTCCATGAATAATGTTGGGGTACACGAAACTGCACCAGAAGATCACGGATGCGAACGAAAATGTCTGCAGAAAACCTGGGTAGAGCGTTCGAAAATAGAGCACACGAAAAAATGTGGGAGCGAACCCACATGAATCTGTCGACCATCTTGTGGGGCATGAGAATGTAAAGAATGGGAAGAATCAATGAAAACCATCGGAGAAAAGTGACAACGAACCGCCGTCGCTTGGTCCTTGTCGCGCTCGTAGCTGCACTTAGTCACTGGTTGGCCAGCAAGTGAGCTCCCGCGATCAAGCGAGTGAGGCACTTCTCATTCAACTTAGAAGCTAAGGAAACTGAGAGACCCCATTCCACTGCGATTTTGTCAACTGGCTTCCTGCTACCATCATCAAGTTTAGCACATGCAGCAACGAACTCGGAAACTGCGGTGTCAATCACTTTGTTCTTGCCTTTCCCAATAGCAGTAGATGCCAGCCAGTTGTTGACACTCTTGATGTTGTGACCCTCCAAGCTGCAGTTCTCAAGGTAAAGTGTGCTGTCACGATTCGGGAGATACTGCGAAAAGGTGTCCTGAGCATCGATCGGACCCTGGTCCTTGTTCTCTTCTTCTTCCTCTTCGGAGAAGACGTGAGCCGGCGATCTGAAGTCGGCGGTTGCTTCACCATCACCAACAGCTTCAAGGTCCTCTTCTTCGAAGTCGGGGATGGGGCTCCTTGGTGCCTGTCTAGATTTAGAAGCTGGTTTCTCTCGTCGACGGGGGCGAGCGGGCTGAGAAGAACGAGGCTGCTTACCCTTCAAACGGGCATTCTCAGTCTCAAGAGCATGAAGTCGCTGCAGCAAGGTCTGATTTGTCTGAACTGGTGCATGCTTACGAAAGTCCTTCACCAAGTCCTCAGCCAGCTTCTGGATGGTCTTGTAGCGAGCTGACCAATCATGAAGCTCCGCATCTGGATGCAACTTCTTCTGAGTAGCATTCAGAATGGTAACAAAATCAGTGCCTTCTTGCTCTGCTTGCTCCGATCGAAGTGCTCTCATTAGCACCCCCGCGAACACCCCTTCCTGCTTCGACCGAAAGTTCTCCCAATGTACACAGCGACCATGAGCAACCTGTCGCAAAGCCCAATTGGAGGTGCCCCCCGAAACCACTCGATGCAATGGTACCTCGAAAATCTCCATACCTGCGATGTCTTGTTCCCGAGTAAGTCTATTAGAAGTCACACGTCTCGGCAACGACAAACCATACACCTTGTTCGAGTCCCACTCCTGCGAGGTTGACCTCCACGATCCCGGAAGATTCGAACTGCGTCGTTCGACTCTGGGAGAGCGAGTACGAGATCTGTGCCGAGTAGTACGACCCGAAGAAGAGAATTCAGGACGTCTGCGATGCGAGCGGGGTGGGCTTCGAGATCGCGAATCACGACGGCGATTCAACATGGCTAAAGTGTAGCAGATAGTGAAGAAGAGAGAGAGAACCTGAGAGGCCAAAAGCTATGCAAAGCGGATGTGCACATATCAAGATGCAATCAGTCCTGCGCCATGGACAATGTGTGACATTCCTGCAGGTCCTGGTTGTTTTCTCTGTCCTCTGCGAGACGATGTCAGTTGCCTGCACCGCGCTGGATCTGCTGAGCATGTGTCAGAGGAACCTGAAAAAGCGGGCGACCGAAAGCATCCCTCAAAGGAGTGAACTGTTTGGCAACTGCCACTGTGAAACCTGCCACTGTGCTCCTTCCGCTGTGGATCACATACTTATGGTCCCGTTTGAAGTGAACGACCCCATGTATGAGGCACTGTTGCTGGGCGTCTTCTCCACCACCCGACTTCAGAACGAAATGCTGACCAGGAACACTTGCAAACCCATGCGTGATAATGGGACAAGCCCATTTGGCAGAGTTCGTAACCCTATCAAGAATCTGCACAAAAGACATGTCATCACTCCACGGAGTTGCTTGCGAATAGTGGCCTACAGCCTCCGGGCCGTCCGCCAATGTGGCTGGTGCCAAAAACCGAGATTGGATTATGCCCTGCACACCTGCCATATCCGAGCCATGAGCAAAATAATATAAATTTCGCAGTTCGGCAGATAAATCATCATGTGGTACAAAGCGATCAGTCAGATCAAAGCTCCAGTAAACATGTGCCTTGGACTCATGGCATTTCACTCGACAGAACATGCGAGATGTATCTCCTGTATATTGGCACATCAGTGTTGCAAAGCACCGAAGCTCGAAAAGAGGCAGGAGCTGAATGCCTGACTCATTGCAAAGATCTGTTACAATCTTGATGTTGCCTTGAATCTGGTCCTCAGGAGCTGCCTGCATGATAAGACGACCTTGCCAGCTCTTGAGCTTGACACTGACTGCTCCACCCACTGTCCTCGACAGAACCAACTCAGAGTGCACGTCCTGTCCACTAGTCGTGAGTAGTGGATCACCTGCATACTGCGGAGGTTGCATTGGTGTACACTCGATTCCTGCAGAAGACACTGGCGGAGGAGGTGGTGGAGGAGGGGGAGGTGCTGTCGCCGATGTTGTTGAGGCTGGCGACACAGGCTTGATCACTCCTAGTGCCGAAGGGCTGCGAGAGGTCGCCATTAGAACCGCACGATCCGCCAGGTCCTGTTGAACCTGTATATCCACGTCAGAAGCAGAAGACTCGGCAGCCGACACAATGTTGTCCTCTAGAGGCTTACAGACTTCGATTGCTCCCAACATCTGTTCCCTCCTCTGCTGCAAAGCCTGTCCCACGGATCCCTTGGGAACCTTAGCAGCATTCTTCGCGCGAGCAACTCGTTGTGAAGGGAGCTGAGGTTTCTCCACTGGGGGAGCAATCGATTGATCGATGTCTGACCTGACTTCTGAAGTGTCCTCCCTAGACTGAGAGGAAGAAGAATTTACCATCGGAATGTCCTGTCCTGTAGAAAGTCGATCAGGTAGAACATTGTCAATCTCGATTCCCTGGAACCCAAAATTGGGTATCGGAATCTCCGATGGTGAGGGTCCTTCGCCCTCCGAGATATCAATCCCGGTAACATCTGCATCTGGCAACGAATCGGCGCTCATGCTCACGAAGCAAAAAACTACGAACAAAAGAAGGAGTCAAGCCGAGATGCTGCCAACGATGAATCATCTTCGGGGTCTCTGCTTCTTTCGTTACTCAAGACTGCTAGAGCCACTGTAGGGCCGGTGGCCACGCAAGCCCATCACCTGACCAATCGGGGCACTTTCGTTCCGGTTGCTCACTCGGAGCACTTAGACCCATCACCTGACAAGAAAAGGGCCACTCTTTATAGTGCCGTTGCACCATTGACCTGTCCCGAAGGAGTACGGCCTGTTATGTTACCATCATGGGCCGCAAAACGTACCCTGGCAGTCCGCAGGAGCGGTTGTTGCCGTTGGCGACAAGGCCACACACGGAGTTTGGGAGTCCATCAGGACTGAACCATTCACTTCCAGTTTTGCCATAATATGTTGCTAAAGTCGACGAACACCTGAGATCTAAGTCACACCTGAATGAGCAGATTGCAGCAACCATGCACGAACTCGACTGTGGCAAACATGAAGCTGTCACTCTAGTGTTGGTTACTCCAGTGCCTCAGGGGGCCCACTGGCTAATCCGAAAGCAGGTACACAGTGGTGATCAGCCACTGCATCCACTCCAGTGATTTGGCTTCGTTGGGCAAGGCTGATCACTGGAGCCCTTGCCCCCCTGCTGACAAAAGAACAATGCAGCACTGGAAAACACTTGTATCGCATGCACCAAGAACCTCTAGCTTAGAATCGAGGCTTACACACACACACAGACACAGACAGAGACACAAGAACTCATACAATTCAAACCACGAGCCAGGAGAAGGCATCCAGGAGGTGTCAGACACTGTGCCAGAGTCCTGGACAGCGGGCCTCTTGTCTTCTTGCGACAGCGTGTGTCTTATGATTGTTCTGTGGAGTGGGGGGTACAGGTGGGTGATTTAGGTGTTGATACGTGTTGGTTTCGGGTTTGGGTGGTTGTAGGGTTTCGGAGATTTCGGTTTCAGGAGGGTTGTGGTTGGGCTGTAGGACATTGCTTAGGCCTCTCAGGTTTGAGCACCACACTGTCTCTGCCAGCTGTCAGAACGCGCTTCAAACAGTGGGGGATGCTGCCAGAAGCATGCGCAGCAGGGTCGGCGGAGTGTGTGTTTGTGTGTTTGTTTGTTTCAGGTCTCTTGGTGTGTCGTAGCGCCAACAGAACCTGTATCCATGGTACAAGCACGAACAGCATTACGGCATGACGAAGGCTACGACGGCTTCTATCGCTCCGTGAATTTCAACGAAGACGAGCAGATCTCCATAAGCGGCCCAACTCAAACGGGTCCGGGCCAGGTTGAATTCGGGTATCAGTGGAGAGGGCTTATTGCATGAGTCACGCTTTCTGAGATTGCGGATGTGAACAGCGTTGAATTAAGTAGCCACCCCTGGCTTTGAACACCTGCCTGGACCTCTGCTCTGGGCTTCGCAACTTCAGGTTTCGGAGTGTCGAGGGCATGGTACTCGTTACAGCCATGAACCCAAAACCATCCTAAACCCTATGAGCCATCCGAAATCCCAAACCCAAAACCCTCCCCGAAGCGCGGCGCACTTCCCCAAATCCTTCCGAAGCCGGCCTTCTTTAAATTCCGGTCAGCATACCTCCAACACTTCCAAAAGCCTGCTTACTAAGCCCCTGAACCCTAAAATGCTGAAGCCCTGAAGCTCTGAAACCCTAAACGTTACACCCTGCTCTACAGCATCCTACAGCCCTGAAGCCCAAAAGCCAGGAACCCGAACCTGACGATGGCAGGCTGGAATCCTTCTTCATTGAAAGCCAACGACCGGGTCGGAGTTCTCTGTCTGATACTTGCTTACGGGTCCCAGAAAAGATCATATGACATATATGGGTGGTTGTCAAAATTAGGGTCCCTTTTTGGGTACCCTAAATATTAGGTGCCGTATAGTAATATGGACCCAAAAAGGGACCATAATTTTGACAACCACCCATATATAAGCAGACTCTCATTTAGAGTATCATTATGCCTTTGGTTGATGTCTGCCAAAGAGAAGCATCATCATTCCCTTGAAACTCCACGGTTCAATTATGAGAACTTACAGACAGAACCCCAAGCCCCAAGCCCGAGACCCCACATTACAGAACCCGACAGGGGAGTTTCCGAAAATAGGGGACCCTATTATAATCTCCGTAGTAGGATCCTTATTATAAGGGCCCAAAATAAGGTACCCCGAATTTTCGGAAACTCCCATAGATTTACAAAGTTTGTTTGTCTCATGTAGGCCTTGCCAGGTGCCTTCTGCATGAACCCGTCCTCAACCCTGAACCCGAAAATGTCAAGCTTCCCATCCCCTTATACCAGCATGTGGTCTTGCTCATATGTATAGCCTAAGGCCCCATAGTAGTTCCTTGTTGGGATTACCTTATAGGATTCTATATGTGAACCCCAAAAAGGAACTACTTTGGGGCCTTAGGGTAATATGTACAGCATACATGAGGGTGTTTACAGTTCGGGGGTCCCTTGTTCGGGAGTCCGTAGAAGAAGGATCCGATCATTTGAGGTCTATCCTGGGTTCGCAGACTTTCTGCAACCCCGTTCATGAGGGTCTCTAGCTTTCTGAAGCTCGTACCTATAGTCTCCATTGTAGTTCCTTTTTGGGGTTACCTTTTAGGATCCTTAATATAAAATTGGTTAAACCAAAAAAAGGAACTACAATGGAGACCATAGGCAGTGCGTGGACACGCGTGCCAGCGCGACCTAATCTTTGGCAGCCTCGAGATTCCTTTGTTCAGAGGCTCCATAGATAGTAAAGGGAACTCCAGAAAGTTGGAATATGGTTTCAGGGTAGGCTACCCTATAATTTACCATGAAGGGTTTAGGATAATCATATTCCAACTTTCTGGCTTGTACTGTACCATTGTGGAATTAGGTCCCCAAAGCCATATTATGGATGGTCTTGCGGGACCTTATTCCATAATAGTAATATATGTGGAGCCTCTAGGTTTGTTCAGAATTAAAGAGTCCTTGGATCATCATAAGAACGCCTGTAGATAAATTGAAAGACAAGTCAATTAGACTCTGGCTAGTAGGATGATGAGCCCTAGAGTGTTAATCTTTCAAATTTTCTGACCGGTACCTGGGGAACCCGAACCCTAAACCCTAAACCTAAACCTAGTGTACAGAGGAGGGCTTTGGGGCTGCGTAGGTAGACCTTACAAAGCTGAAATAATCCGAGGCCCTGCTATCCCGAGCTGGCCAGTTTATCATCGTTGTGTGCCTCGGCGTTCTGAGACGGCTTAGGTTTTCGGCTTGTTAAGGGCTTGTGGTTATGCTTTAGTGTTCAGAGTGCACCCCGTGTGAAGGGGCCAAGCTGCTTGGGGCTTAGCGTGGAGGGTCCCGTGACCGCGGGTCCGAGCCCCTAAAAGCCGCGGGCTGCTTTCTCAGGAATGGGAAGGTGGTTGTGCGCATCACGGACGACTTCCCCTTGGCAGATGTGGAAGCCTTCTATCCCATCGTCGACCTGCTGGGAGACTTTTCATCACTTGGCGGTTTCGGGCTTGATTTATGTGCGCCAGCAGGCCCTTACACACCCTAAGCTGCACATCCCAAACTCACAATTGGTCATGTCGACATCTTTCGGGGCTCATGGTGCTAAGGTATGGATCTACGAGAATTTCCGGTTTGCCGGGCTCATGTACCCTCGCATAAGGACATATGCCCCTTCGTCGTAGGACCCTACAGCCTGAATGGAGGCTGGAAAAAATGGAGGCTGGATGGGGTATCTAGAGTATTGGTTTGCGTGTTCGGGCTTTGCACTTTGATTCCGTATTCCCCAAGCTCTGCTGACAATCGGTTTAGGTTCGTACTGTAAGGGCTGAAATTTGGCTTAAACAGTTACCGGTACTAGTTTGCGGATTCCTTATTATAATTACAGTACAATGGGCTCCAAAACCCCCTATTCTAATGATTAAGGCCCCTACATCATAAGGGTTTGAGGCCCGCGTCTGAGAGGGTCGGCGGCGACCGGTCCTACCTCAGCAGATGCCATGCAAATCCCCCAAAAGGAGCACTGGAGAAGATTTGAGTTCATGGAATGTTGTATTGTGGGGGAAAAGGAAATCCTACATTGTGGCTTCGGGTTTCGTTGCCGGGTACAGGGGCAGTGCAGGTCCTACCGGGTGTACTTTGTCTTTAAACTCCAGAAGAGCTTCTAAAGGCACGACGGAACTCTCCAGACAAGCGTGTCGTGTTCCGGGGGAGACTTGTCAAGCGAGCCTCGCCTCCTTAGCTTGAAACCCCTACACCAGATAAACCCTACTCGAAGAGCACAGCATCAGGCATTTGCAGCTTGGGCATTGATCATGGTTAGAAATTTCGATTTTCCCCGAACCAAAACGGGGCCTTCATTCGGTGTCGGGTTTGGGGTTTAGGGCCTCACACCACCTGCGATGAGTGCCACCCAGAGCTGAGGACGTGTCTGCCAAGTGACGATGGTGCGGGACGCGAAGCCTCCGGACGCTGCAACGGAAGCCGGGTGGCAGGATCCCAGAAGCCCACACCATTATGAACCTTATTAAGTTTACATGCCCGAACCACTATGAACCCCGAGACCTTAGCTACCCCAAACATTAAAGCCCCTGAAACTTTAAGTACCCCAAGCCTGGGCGCTGAAGGCAGCGGTTGTGGGAAGTAAACAGGTCCCTTGAGACTGAGGGTAAGGACTGCAAAGTCCCTCAGACTATCCCCAAAGGGTCCTAGTTACTGTTATGAGGGATACTTCCCCAAATCATAATAGTAATTCCTACAGTAATATAGAAGCCCTACATTCTACTATATAGGTACTTTGCACCCTTACGGACACAAGGTGTGAGGAAAGCTGACCTGCTTGCGCACCTGTTTCTATCATGTTGCCTTGCAGAAAAGTTGGTCGCGGGCTTAGGTAGTTTGCTGCAGAGCTCCAAAACCCCAGGCCCCAAACCCCAAGCCCGAAAATCCCACACGGTACACCCAAAACCCGGAAGCCGATACATGTGTACA